TGGGTTTTTTGTTTTCTTTCATTACTGCTGTTACATAGACCTGAGCCCTTAGATTTCTTTTTTTATTATCATTCTGATAAATTTTGAAGTTTTACTGATCATGTTCTTCAGCCCTCCCTTGTGTTCAATTCATGTAACTTAAGTCTTCATTTCAGTCTTTCTCTACTGTGTTGTGCAGTGCCTTTTTTGAAAAGCAATGTGAGGCACATAAATCTTGTAATAAAATATGAGATGTTTACTAATAAAACAAGATATATCTGATCCAGGCGTTCAATACTTGTCAATGTGAAGTATTTCAGATTTGTCAAACCAGTAATTTTAAAGAGAGATGAGACCCACATATGTGTGGATAAAAACTCAAACAAGCGTCTCCCTTAATAAGTTTAAAATGTAAATATTTTTGTATGTGTGTGTTTTTAAAAATATCCCACTTAACTTTGGATACTACTTTTCAAGTAAAAGTTCACTAGAGCAAGGAATATGTAATGGTTTAGAACTGAACCTCAAATGTGGTGGAATCATAGCACAGTTTGCTGATTTTTCAATGCTAACTTCTAGTTAAATTGAAAGGAGTTGGGTGCCCTCCTGCAAATACTGAAAAGTGCTACTGGGCAATAGCCCTATGGCATATGCAGTGTGCTGGTTAAATAACACAGTTTTGTGTTCAAATGTGTGACACTTTGGGTTGTTTATTTGAATTAAGTTCTGAAGTTGGTGCTTATGATGGAGTGTTTGGTGCACATGAATAAATAAAAATGAAAAATAAAAATTTCAGCCAGATGAAAACATGAGTGAAACACAAGTGCTTAAATCAGGAGAGGTAAAACTTAAGGTTTTTTACTCTTCAAAATTTCTGTGATTTCTAAGTATTATGATGGCTTTATGGCTCACAGTTGCGATTTTGAGCAAGTGTTGACTGCAGTGAATTTGTATCCTATGCTTCTGAAAACACTCAACAGAATGAAAGCAAAGCTTTAATATAATGTGGTATGGCTTGTAGGCCTTAAAGGGAGGGCAAAACTGTGCAGATGATGCTCTAGAATGATAGAATTAGCCATGAGTTCCAAATGAGGCTCAGTTTGCTTGTGACAGCTATAATGTTTCCTCCTCCTCAGACACTGGTACTATATTGTGAGTTTGTCATGACCAAAATTTTCTTAAATCATGATAGTTGTTACCTTCTGTGGACAAAACTAAGTGAGACTTAAAAAACCAAACCCACGAACAACTTCCTTAGTATTTATGTCTCAGGTGCTTATGAATGTCTGCTGCCCTGCATTGCTAAGTTGAATTAGCATTCCCGCTTAGCTGTCTGTATACTTAATTTTCTTCAAAAAAGGTGCAAGAAAGAATTCTGAAAAACATTTTGTGTGGTGGGAAGTTTGAAAGGATAGTTATGATTTGAGTTTGTGAGAGAGAAGTAAAATCAGATGTAGACTAAAGTTCCAATTCATAGCAATTGGGTAATGACCAGTAATTCAAAACCAGGCCAATTTTATTTGACTTTTCCAGACAGCTGCTCTTTGGCTTTCAGAGCAAACTTAGTAATTTTCAGATAAAATCAGTTTTGTTAGCCAAAGCTAAAGGTGGTGGCTAAAATTAGAGCTTCGTTTGCAGCCCTAACTATGAACAGACTGCTGTTTGTAATCACTCTAAGAGGATTGTGCCAACTTTAATAATAGCTAATTATGTGGAAGTATGTGATTTTTATAAACTTGTATGTTGGAGTTGCATTTGATAAAATTTTTATTAGGCTTCATTTGGCTTGTGGAACGGAGATTTGGAAATGTCTTGAGTTAGAATGTGGTAGCTCTGTGTAATGTCAGTTTAGGGTATCTAGGTCCCTGGCTGGCGCAGCACATAGAAATAGCCTTACTCAAAGTGTTGCCAGTGTTTGTTGTTGTTGTGCTTAGTCAGGTATTATCCTCAAAGCTCTGATGACCTGTCTTCTTCAGTGGTTCCTCAGGATAAAATATTCTAGATGCTGATAGACTAATGAAAGCCGTATGTTAACATGTTACAATTTATATTTTATTTCCTTTCCTTGTATCATTACAAATACACCATACAAAATGAGAATAATGAGTAGAGTTGTCTTACAGGGTAGTATTGCCCTGTTGTATCAGGCTTGTCACAGAGCTGACTAGTGGCAGAAATTTCCTAGCTGTCATTGAGGGCAGGTAGTAAATGACATTTTAGTAACGTATGGAAACATTCCTGTATAATAAATGAAGATTCTGTTCCCCCATAAAGATGCTGAATAGAATGTTGTTGATAATAACTTATCCCTTTAATTCTGCCTCATTTGTATTGTTTTTTTTTTTTAACGAAACAGAAACACGAGAGAGAGACAGACCATCTGAATATAAGGGTTTAAGCATCCTTTCCCCTATTTTTTATCAACTTTCACTATCTATAGGACATTGGGGAATAAGTTTTTGGAGTTTACACTCAGTTGGGCATAATAAATGGGAAAAAAAAAAAAAACCAAAACGGGAGGAGAAATAAAAGAGGAGGTCTAACCATGGGTTGCATAACCTGCAGGGGAAAATGAAATTCCCTTTCTAAAAAGTAAAGTATTAAGGTACCAAGTGTAATCATTATAACTGAATAAATAAAGTGACATATTGGTGCGACACACAGCAAAACAGAAGAATTCATTTGAATTGGGAAGATACGGAAAATATGTGAAGAGAAGAAGAGAAATGGATTGGAAAATGTCTCCTGAAGCTGTATCTGCAAACTCTGAAATATTTGACTGAAGAAGAGCTACTTTTGCTATACTTGGCTCCATGTTATTGGCTTAATTCCTTTGGTTTTAAGGAAAAGTTTGAATAGAATTATGTGGGGAAAATCATCAATGTAAGAGTTGTAGGATTGGGTGAAGAGGAGAGAAATAATTGTTGAGGTGTCTGTAGGTGTGCGGGATGTAGAGAGATTTTTGTACTGATGAGTGCAAGGTGCACCTATTTATCTTCTTAGAGGTGCCTCTAGAGCAAAAATGAAACATTGTATGCAGAGCCCAGCCTGGTATTTTGCTTTAATATGAGTACTGGAAGAATGACTTTGTTTTTAGGGTGTGAAGTAACTTTTAACGTAAGAAACCAGAAACAAAAGAATGGCCAATGATGTGGCAGAACCTAAAGAGAATGTTAAACTAGCATATCCAGCTATTGGTTTTGAATCTGGGTGGTATACACTATTTCTCCCCAAACCTTTTCATACTTGTGTCTTCAGGCCTCCTTTAGAAGCCTGCCAGATAAATAATTGCAGAAGTATGGCCTAAATGAAACAATAGGATTTATTTTGGCCAAAAATTAAGAAGTTCTGTAAAACAGAACAAAATTGTAAAACAAAATTGTCAAAGAGTGAAGTGGTTGCTGGCAGAATGGTACTCTTCTCCCTCCCTTTGTTAGCTTGATAAGTCAAAGGTTTTATTTCAGTTAGCAGCTTAGTAGAAGTTACAGTTCAAAAGAATGTTTGTGTTTGTGTTTGGAAGTTACAGTTCAAAGGAATGTTTGTTTGTATTTGGGTTGGCATTCATATTTGGGAATGGGAAGAAAATTTTTGCCTTGTCTTTGTTAGCTATCAGTGCAATGTTGATAGTATGGATGGGCTGTGGTACCACCAGCACACTTGGCTAACTGCTTCAGGCATGTCCTTCCCTGGCCTTTATTTGCTGTTTGCTTATTCTGTTATTTGATACGAGTCATCCATCGCTACACACGTGCCTGCTCTTAACGGTAACTTCCTGCAGTCATGTGCTTTTGATGCTGCACCTGTGTTCAACCAGCTCAGCACAGGCTCTCATTTGAAAGGAATCCCAAGATAACACTGCTGTTCTCTTACTATGCATCTAGCTGCCTCCCCTCAGCCACTGTTAAACTGGCATTTGCTTTGTGAAGTGCTTGGCTTGTTACAGCATTTGTGCTCAGACTCTTCTGATGAAGCAAGTGGATTATCTCCCAGTGCACTCCAACAGCATGTATGAAAGAGTAATGTTTCATACACTAAAATGTAACTGAAGGGTCTGCAAACCATGGAGATGTCCCTCTGAGTTCTCAATGGGACACATGAATGAGTAGAAAACCAAGTTTTTAGACAAATATTAGGAAAACCTATCCAGTACACCCAGTTGTTTCCCTGCAGCTGGGGTCACCTTACGTTCTTGCAATCTTTTTCAGGTGTAGCTCACTCATGCTAAATATATAGCAGGGAACATCTTGTGTTAAGTAGAGATAGGAACCCAAACAGAAGAGGTCAAGGATGGAAATAAATTCCACTCAGTACTGAATGATTGAGAAATCCCTTTTCTGTCACTCCCTCTTGTTGTTTGGAGAGGTGGTACTTGAATTCATTTCAGAAATGAGAAGAAAAGTAAAGATAACGTGAGGTTTTTTTGGGTTTTTTTTTTTGTTTGTTTTGTTTTATGGGTTGTGGGGTGATTTTTGTTTTTTGTTTGTTTGCTTGTTTTTTTTTTTAAGAAAAATACCCCTACCCTTTCAATTCACATTAACATCTGGAAGTGAGTGGCTCAAGCCTATAGTCACCTGCATCATCACATTATCTTTTCCTGATCAGAATGTGGAATATTGAATGTTGTGATGTACACATTACATTAAATTTTTATCTAGATGTTCTTGCATTATATATCTTGGTATTTGTGTGTTAAATGATTTGAGATGGCTTAATAGCTTGTTAGTACAACCAGTTGTGTGGACCACTTTTGGAAAAGAAGATAGATGCCTCCACAGACCAAAGCCTTTTCCCAGTTCTCTGGTCCTTCAGTGTACTTTGTGGTGACGGCTGCAAGCGTGTTCTGGTCATCAGTGAGTGGTTCAGAGATGTAACCTGGCTGTAAAGTGCCCCTTTCAAAGGCCATAGCTTCACAGTAAGCTTTCTTTAGCTATATTGTATACATTTATGGCAGGGATTAGTAGTAGTTTTTTTGGTTTTTCTTGGAAGTCATTGGAAAGCAGGAGTAAATCTATTTTGATTTCACTTGGGATAGATTAGTGGGTGTCAAATGTTACACAGTACTTGATGTATCTACTGCTGTTAAGTTGGCCATGGCAAAGGGATTACCCAATAATGAATTGCCAAGCTCTTCAGCCATTTAAAGGGAATCGTGCTGCTTCCTTGCCCTGGTGGTACTCTCTTTCCTGCCCAGGACCTTCTTGTGACAGTTCGTGTTTGGAAATGGAAAACTCCACGCAGATGTCCATGCACCGGTTTGACAGCTTTGTGTTCAGCTTCTACCTTGCTAATTGTTTTTGTGGATTATTTGGATTGTGTAGAAAGCTTTTTCCAAATCCCCTTTATTACTGAAGTTATTGTTGCCAGCAGGAATAAAATTAAAGGTGCTTAAGTCTGTAGAGTTGTTTCTAATTTGTACGTGTCATTTCAGTGGCATTTGAACAGAACTCTCTCTCTTCCCCTCCCTGCTCCCCTGTGGTACTGTGTTGAGCTAGGGCTAAGAAGCCAAGCCATTGGAAGAAAATTCATTTTGTTTCCTAATTATTATGCTGGCACTTGGGAGATAATTTTTCCCTTCATGCACTGCCAATTAATATGCAAATGAGCTGATAAATATTTATACCGTGATTTAAATTATGCAGGGAGCGCTTTCAGTGTACTCTGCAAATGAATTGTTCATGGACTTCAAAGTGCTGGCTGCTGTGCTAACGAGAGGAGATTTGCATAAGGCCCTAATCAGGCGCATACTGATTAAGCTTCATTATGGAAACTGCCAGCTGCAATCTTTGTTTCTATTTTATTACAAAAAGGGGAACTTTTCACGCTTCAGTCGCCTTGACAATGTCAGACACAGCTAGTAGGAGAGACTAAAACTCCACAGAGCAACTGAAGTTTCCCTGTTCACTTGAAGATTGCTATGGTGTAACTGAAGTTGTATTTCTTCTCCCACCTCCCCACTCCCTTTCGTGTTCAGTCAAGACCAGTAGTGTAGATTTGATAGAAATTGCCATTCTCTCTTTCCTTGGACTATCTGAACCTGTAGAGGATACCACAGCAATGCTGGACTGCGGTGACTACGTTATAGGTGGGTACCAGCTCAGCTCTTTCTTAACAGCATTTAATATGGACATAGGGGCTGTGAGGTTGACTATGCATAGAGGCTTACTTGCATATGCAGAGGTGAGAGGAAGTATTTGTAAGGCTGAAGCTCACCAGTGAATCGGAAGCAAGTAGCTGCCTGATAGATGGATAGATCTGTACCAGGGAAATACATGGTCTGGTTGGTTGGGGTTTTTTTTTTGGTGTTTTTTTGTTTGTTTGTTTTTTGTTTGTTTTGTTTTGTTCTTTCCCTCACTCCAGGAGAATGTTTCCTCTGCACTGGAGAGATTTGCTGCTAGGCTTGGATGATATTAATACAGACCTATTGCTTTTAGGGTTTCAATCTGAGAAGCATTTGGCTTCTGACAAGCACTGGACTTGACTTGCATATCTGTGTTGTGAATTCTAAAGCATTAAAATAAATAAGAGTCCCAGTCTCAAAGAATTTAGTAGTTTTATTGAGCCGTTCCCCAACAGAATGTATATTATGTCTGTGTATTTCTAATATAACAGCAAGGTTCTTCATGCGTAATAGAAAACAAGGTGGAGTGCGTGGTGGTTGCCATTGATAGTGTTGCAAGCTATGCCTAAGGTTACTGGGATAATGTATTTCCTGCAGTGAGATTCCATCAGGACTGCAGAACAGACATGCCATAATTTCTTTATATCTTTTAAAGTTATTTATGATAACAGATCATCCTAATTTGACAATAGATTTTATTTCTTTTTCAAGGGTCTTTCCCCAAAGCTCAATTTATAGATTTTTTTTTTCCTTCTTTTGATTCCATTTTTCAAGTTCATGTAATAACTTGTATATCAAAGTAGAAGAATATATTTTTGGATGGTAAATTTTGAAGCAGACAACTGAATACTTGTTTCTGAATATGATTTTGTTTTGTTTTTTTGTTTTAATGAATTTCAAAAGAATTTGTGGCATGTTTTCACTCACATAGAACTTGGGGGGGGGGGTATTTGTTTTTTTTTTTGTTTGGCTTTTTTTCATACATGTTAGTGAATCGTTTTTGCTGGTGCTGATGGAGTACTGAGTACTCCATCACCATACTTCTTGCACTGGGTGAAAGAAAAAAGTTAATGATATATTCTACATTAAGATTTTCTGTGTTTTGCTAGCTATGTATAGTCTCTAATATACTCCAGGTTGGTGCAGTGTCTGTTATTTTTTCCGAATACTGCTTGCAGTGTTACTGGGGGTATGTGAAAGCTTGGCGCAGCACTGCCTTATGACAACCTCAGCCCCCACTACCAGAGTAGCAGTACTGAATGTATTCACTCCTGAGAGTTTGATTTCAGTCATGCACCTGCTGCTTTCTATCCTTCCTTCTGTGGAGTTTGTGCTTTAGATAATTTTGGCAGAAGTTGCAGCCCAGGGCCTTTACTTAAAACCTGAGTAAAATGTAAAGAAAAAAGAAAAGGTGAGGGCATTATGGTTTGGATTTTTTTTAGGCCACTTCATTTGTTATTCTTTTAACTCTAAAGCAGAAATTGTATGAGCATGTATAAGTCAAATAATCTTTTTATTTGACATATAATGAATCTGTAAGTTTAATATCCTGCGGATATGTCTGTTTTTCTGGTAGTAGTTTTGTGCTTCAGATGTATGCCATACCATTTGCAATGGAAATGGCGGCATTGTTCTTGGTGCTTTATATGCAGAAGGCCCACAGAATGAACAAGACATAGTCAGCTGGTGAAATAATGGATGCTATCCTTCATTTGAACTTGACGTTTTTTCACTCAACTTGCTGCTTTTTTGCAATAGCAATGTTTGAGGTCTTTGTTAGAAATGAACCTTTACAGTAAAATAGTCTTCATTTAGACATACTTTTGGTAGCTGAGTAAACTTCGTGTATGTCTAATACTAGGAAACACTGAAACCCTTTTTTAAAAGGATTTAATTTGCAGCATAGCCCGACAGAAAAGCATGTCTTGGTTCATTTATGAAAAGAGGTCTGTACAGTTATAATTTTGTCCTTGAGGAAACTTGCTGGTCTTCCAGGAAAGTTTTGTTGTAGGAACCTGCTCATACTGAGGGAATAGTCACTATGTTGCTTGGAGTTCTGTGCACAGAGCAGTTCTGTCCCCTTTTGGGTTCAGTTTGTTTACCATTAGTATCCTGCGTGGTGATTTCAATGCTTTAATTTCTGTAACAAACTAGTACAGGAGGTCCTGTGTTGTTTACCTTGCAAGAGCTTTTTGAAGTGGTTTGGTGAATAGATCCCATGTTGCTGAGATATGACCTTTCAGCCTGTGCTCTTCCCTTTTGTGGTCATTGCTGTCATGAGTTCAGGCTAACCTTATGCTCTGGGTTTAAAAAACACATCCTGTCTCCAATGGCCCCATGAGTTAACCCAGTTTCCAAAATATAACCAAATATACTGGCCTTCTAAGCCCTCTTTGCTCATATTCATTCCTGTTGGATGACAACCCTTTGTGTCTAAAGGGAACTCTCCTGTTCAGTGTTCTCTGAAACTAAACTGATTTCAGTAGCCATCTGTGGGTCCAGGAGTGAACTAATGCTGTTTATCAAATGAATGTTGCCTATCACTTTAAATAAATGAGCTATTGCCACAACAATAAACTCAATTTAAGACACGTGCAACTTCTAGATAGCAAATAGGTTGTATGTTTTAAATACAGATCTGTCAGCATGGATGGCCGCATCAACAACAAACATTTCTGTGCAGTCAGTGGAACTCATGTTCTGTTTCTAGGTTGTGGATCATGCTATCTAAACTTGGAAAATAACAAAAGAAGGAGCTGGGAAGCAGTAGGTTCTGCATCTCCAACATGAGCAGAGCTCTGTCTTTCAAGACTGTGAACTCATAGCTTGAATCTGCTAAGCAGCTTTTTGCTGAAGTGTGGGCCAGCAGTGCTGAGCTGGAAAGTATCTTCTCACTCACTTCCCCTTTCCAAAATCAGTTTAGAATCATAGAATCATAGAATAGTTAGGGTTGGAAAGGGCCTTAACATCATCTAGTTCCAATCACCCTGCCATGGGTAGGGACACCTTGACTAAACCATATCACCCAAGGCTCTGTCCAGCATGGCCTCGACCAACGCCAGGGATGGAGCATTCACAACTTCCTCGGGCAGCCCATTCCGGTGCCTCACCACCCTTACAGTAAAGAACTTCTTCCTTATATCCAGTCTAAACTTTGCCTGTTTAAGTTTGAACCTATTAGCCCTTGTCCTACCACTACAGTCCCTAATGAAGAGTCCCTCCCCAGCATCCTTATAGGCCCCGTTCAGATACTTCAGGTTGCTGTGAGGTCTCCATGCAGCTTCTCTTCTCCAGGCTGAACAGCCCCAACTTCCTCATCCTGTCTTCATATGGGAGGTGCTCCAGTCCCCTGGTCATCCTCATGGCCCTCCTCTGGACTTGTTCCAAGAGTTCCATGTCCTTTTTATGTTGAGGACACCAGAACTGTACACAATACTCCAAGTGAGGTCTCAGGAGAGCAGAGTAGAGGGGCAGGATCACCTCCTTCGACCTGCAAATGTTTAACACATTTGCCTTTATGCTAAGAGTGACGTTGGTAGTTCAGATCTCTTACATGTGTCTGACTTTTGAAAGATTTAAGCATAGGCATAGGAACATTCTGCATTCAAGTGCACCAGTTGTTTACATGGAAGTTTACATTTGTTTTAAAAATATTGACATTTCTTGACTTGTATTTTCTAACTGCTTATTGGAGTTTTTCCAAGTTGGATGTCTCTTATCTTTTCTCTCACACATGCTGCATTTGTAATTAGCTCACTCCTGTTCCTGCCCCACACTCCCAGCGAGGCTTCATCTTGACTCCTGTTTTCATTCAGGCCCCTGTCCATGTACTTCATTCATCCTGGCTGGTGCTTGTGTTCCTCTGCTGCTGTCACCCGTGGTTCCATTAGCCTGGGGGTGGCACTGGTCTCTCCAAGCAATAGCAGGTGATAGTGTACAGCAGCAGTCTGGTTTCTCATTTTCAAGTCTCACAGACTGCCAAGCAGAGAAGTGTCTGAGCATTCTTGGAAATACCTGAGGGAAAGATGCAGCAGTTAATGCTGTTACTGTATTCTTCAGCCCGCTGTTATTTTGGTAATCTCTGCTTTAATGAAAGTACATGACAGAGGTAACCTTTTAAGCACCTAGCAAGAGAATATCCTGAGTAAAGCATTCATTGTAGTTGCATTTAACTGCTTGTGGGAATGGAAGAATATGCTTAAGGATTTGCTTATGCTTCATTTTATGAACTGTCTTGAGATTCTTTTTGTAGTTTTGGTTTGTGATAATGTGTCACACTGAGGTCAGTAGCAAGATAAGAGGAGGTAATAAGCTGGAGACCTGATGCTGTCACAGAACATCTGTATAGATTTCTGTATAAGGAAACTATATTCTCTCTCTGCCATCTGGAGAGGCCCTCTGCATTGCGCTATGTTCAGCTGACAAGCTGAAACCAAGAGCAGACTTTTCAATAGGTTTCATACAGAGGGCAGAGGAAGAGGAATTGTTTTATATTTGTACTGCTTTGCATGAATATATAGGAAATATAAAAATCACTTAATATCAGTAATTTTACAGGCATTCCTGTAAAATGAAAATGCAGTGTTAGAAAAATGGCATCTGTTTAATTAAAATGACTGAATTTCCTTTCTCTCCTAGGTGGGGGGAAGGAGGGAGGAATGGCAGGGACGACACAAGAATAATGCAGGCCATGGTGGTCAGACTTAATATTTTTGAATCTTGATGTAGTCATTGTGCCTTCCTTTTTTTTTTCCCCTTCCCCCCTTTTTGCTTCTGTGACTTTCATTGTATTGAAAATTAGGTTTCTACCTGGCTTTGCCCTCTAGCATGCTGTCATTTATGCCCTTAACACCATGTTTTCACGTGTGGGAATAATGACATACTAAATTTTGAAACAGTATTTATCTGGAAGGTTCAGTATTGTGTTCTGCTTCTGATCGTTCTTTTTGTGTTATAATCTGAATTAGGCTAAAGTACAGATAACATTTCTGATGTTATATGAGACGGTAAGAATAGTTTTTTGGTTGTTTTGTGTTTTGTTTTTTTTTTTTAATTTCCCTATATTAGTTTATCTTTATCTGTGTTTTAATGCAGACTCAAGAATGAACAATCCGTCAGAAACCAGTAAAACATTGATGGAGAGTGGGGATGGGAATACAGGTAAGAAATGATGAATTGGTGTGCAGGTATTTGCTGATGGAATTCAATGGATATTAAAAGCAAATTTTCTTCACCAGTTTACAGGAATCTAAACAAACCAAACCCCACACCTCCTGTTCATAAGAGACTTGGAAATGCTTTTGTCATGTCAATAAACCTACTGTGTGCAGGGCATGTTTCACACCTGCTGTAACCCTTTGTACAAGATTCCCCTTCCCCATTTCCTGTGTCTGTGATGTTTCTCATATTGTGGAAGGTGTGGTGGCACTAGCTCTCCATGAGTAGTCTCATTTATTTTCCTGGCAGAACATATCTTCAGCACTTTTAACTTGGTCATTTATGTGTGGTTGAAATTTTCCCTGGCAGATGTGGGCCACTGACTGATCTTGTTTCCAATTTAGATTTCATTTAAGCTCTCACAACAGTTCTTAAAAATAAGGCAAAGGGAGAAATCATAATTTCTCAACATCAAAAAAAAAAAAGGAGCCATCTTTTCTGTTATTTTCCCATGTGTTAAAACAGAACCTTGAAATTTGGCCGGGAAAGAACAGCCTTTGTGTCAGGGCCATTGTGCTTCTTAGCACATCCTTAAGATGTGGCCAAGTTCGAAGCCATTGAAGAAGCTTGTTAAGCCACTAAAACTCAATCACGCTGTCTCAGGCTTTAATTCCTTTCTGGAGGTAATTTAATGTTCATTTTAGAAGCAAGAGAAATGACAGTTCTCATTCTTTGTGCAAGGCTTTAATAAAGATAAGAGTGACTGAATGTTCCCGATACTGATCCGAGAGGCTGGATGTTTTCTGCCTGTACATGGGGTCAGCCAACAGGAATTCTGCTTGCTTATTAATGTGTGTTTTGTTACTGGCATCTCATTTTTTTTTAAATTTCTGTTGTATTTGTAATAGGAGAGAGATAAATTCTTTTTATTTACAAAGATAATTTTTTTCTGGTTCTAATACTCGTTTAGGGTGATAGAAAACATTATTTCAAAAAACATGGGCTGTAAATATTTCATAATCATAAACAGCATCAAGAGAACAATGGCTTTAAATATCCCCATAGAATCCTTTTAGCTGGATCGTGTGTGTAAACTTCTGAAAAATTCAGACTCCTTGGCTTTGCGTGACTGCAGTTCCCTGTGTATACGTTTTCCAGAGTGCCCTCCCAAGAGACTTCCTGGGAGCACAGCTTTAGCATTTTCACCTGAACTGAGCTGTTAAAGAGGAGGACTTGGTTGATTCAGAGGTAGTTCATTATCACAGTAGTATTGCATCTGCTTCAGCAGAACCCTGGCTCTGCTCTCCTAGGCAAATACTTCATCAGCGTGAAGAGGGTGGTCATGATATAAAAAAATCAATGCATTGCAAAGCTGCATGTAGGTTCTTTCATTACATAAGGCGATACAATGTCTTTATTTTTTTATAGTCTAACAGGTTAGTTATTACAAAAGTTTGACTCTTACTGGTGTTTGGACCTTTTGCAAACATTGCTTCTGCAATTTAAATGTTCCTGGTCATTCCTTTCAGTTTTGTTTCCTGACTTTTTAAATGATGCAGTCTAAAGTAATGTGTAATTTTTGAGGGCCCTTTGTTCTGCACTCAGTGTTTGGTTGTGTTTTTGTTAAAATACAGTGCTCATAAGATGCTGGCGGTAGTGACTAATGGCATTTGTGACATTTTTGGAGGGTCAAGCATCAGTTGCATTAGTCAGCGGCAGGTGTGAGTATTCCATGAGAGGAATACTCATGGAATGTAATCCTAGGCTTGTGATCAGGGTACTTAGATTATGGTTTTGGGCTCTGTGCTTACTTAGTGAAAAGAACCCAGCCTTCAGCTCAGATCCTAAGGAGCTGGAAGTACCATTGATTGTCCAGGGATTTCTGAAGCAAAATGTTTGAAGAGCATTTTTATTAACACTCAGAGGTTTTGTTTTTGTAACTTTCTGTAACTATCTATTTTCCAGTGACATTTGTAAATCATGTGAATCTGCTGTGCAAGAACTACTAGTCTATCTTTAAAACCTCAGAGGATGTTTGTTTGGATCATTTCTGTTTTAAACTGTAGTAAGCTGATGCAACTTGAAAGTTTGAAGAGAAATTACTGTAGGGCATGGAATTTACGTTTGGCAGAACTAGTCTTCTCAAGGAAAAAAATAAATACCATTGCCACTGGTAAAGATGACTTATCATCAGTAGTTCTCTGATCTGACAGCTAAGTTTCAAGGAAGCTAACAAGTCAGGGTTTTGTGTTTCTGACTCTATTTAGGGAACATAGTACAGTCACCCCAATACACTGGTTACAATAAAATGCCTGAAACAGTTTTTAACTTTAAAATTTTTGTGTTAACTGGACTCCCCTTTTAAACATCTGCAAAAGCAACTCCGTATTTCATGTCTTGATGAGTACAAGAGTTGTTGGATGGCTGTTTTCACAAGAATATGAATTGATCAAATGGTGTTGGGTATTGCAGAATTACAAAAATCTTTTCCAGCCTTCAGTTGTGGCTGGACAGTCTGTTTAGTATCTAGTGGGAAAAAAGAGGGAAGTACATAGTGTGGCTTACAGTAAACAGTCGTTTTGGTTTCCTTTTTATAGGTTGCAGCATAGAATTTTCCAAAACAACTCAACCTTGTTTGTTTCTTTGTGCAATGCATATTCTTTATTTAGAAGCTGTATGAATTCAGTACTATGAAAGCCAAGGTTATAATGTCTGTGGTAGCTGGTGTATTATGACATGCATTGACATAGCAGTAAAATAATAGTATTAAGTGTAGCATTTGGAAGGATTCTTGTTTGCATTGCTCCATTTTCAGAGATTGGTTTTTCCAGTTTCTGTAAGAAGAAAGTCTGTAGCAGCATTGGAGAGGAACCATGAAATATTCTTTAACTGCAAAAATTTGAAACAAAAATTAATGCTAAACTTCTTAGTAATATGGACAAGGAATCAGCAACTTCTTTCTCAGTCCACGTAGGGAGAGGGAAATTTACTGCTGGTGCTGGAAGATGTCTCCTAGAGCACTGTGCAGATAGCCACTCAAGATACTTTTGAAATCTTCCTTCTCCTTGTTTGCCTTCCCTTCCTGAGTCCTTTCTTGAACTTTACTCCACATCTCCCCGGACCTGTAGTTCCTCACTCCTCTTCTTACGTGATTTGTAAATGCTGACTGAAGTCTGATAATTATGATGATTTGAGAGTATTGACTGTAGGTGCAATTTTACTTTGTCATGCCTTTATCCTCTGCAGGTACAATTCTAAGCCACCGTAAACTAATCCATATTCAGGGTGTCCTGGTACTTAGTATTCTCTTTCTTTTCCTGGAATGGTGCTGAATGAGAATGGTTCAAAGATTTGATTTGGCTGAAAAGGAATTAAACTTAATACTGGTTTTCATCCAAACCAACTCCATGAAGTAGCCAACCAGATGGCTGATTTTATGGCAGAATTTGACCATGCTCAAGTTGCATTGGACTAGGGCTGTAAGGGTTGAAGTTTCATGATACAGCTCGATTCAGTCTTAACAACTGAGTTAGGGCAGGCGCATTTCCCTGCTAACACATCTCTGAACTTTCCTGCTTTGCATTATCTGCTGCTGGCTGGGTCCAAAGGCAAGTTATCTCATGTAACTGGGAGAAAACTAACTTGGCCAAAAGAAGAAACAGTTCCCATGGATAGTTTTCTAATCAGTTTTGAAAGGTGAATTGTCTTACTGCTGTGTCCGTGAACTACAAAGAGAGGTAGGACAGTGTCCTGGGTTCAGCAGTAGCAGTCATGTTTCTCCTTCTTGGTAGCTGGTGTAGTGCAGTGTTTTGACTTTCACCTCCTGAACAGAGCTGATAACAAGGATGTTTTGGTTTGGCCAAGGACTTTGTGAGCCTCATGCTCTGCCAGGGAGGAGGGGAAGCTGGGAGGAAGCAGAGACAGGACACCTGACCCAAACTGACCAAAGAGGTATTCCATACCACAGCACGTCATGCCCAGGATGTAACTGGGAGTTAGCCGGAAGGGCTGGGAGACGGCGGGGTTGGAGGAGGTATCGGTCGGAGCTTGGTTGGGCTTGGGGGGCGAGTTATCTGTCAGCTGGTGCTGAGGTGTTGTATTCTCTTCCCTTGTTATTTCCTTTATCATTATTATCACTGGTGGTAGCAGTAGTGATCTGTGTTATACCTTAGTTACTAAACTGTTCTTATCTCAACCCGTGGGAGTTGCATTCTTTTCGATTCTCCTCTCCGTCCCTCCGGGAGTAGGGGGAGGGAAGGGGGGGGGGGGGGGGTGTGTGTGAGTGAACGAGTTACCTGACTGGGTTTAAACCACGACAGACAGGGACAGTGTAGTTGGATCCAAGTTCCCACTCCTTGGTAGTTTGTTGGTTTTTGACGGTTTTTTGGTGTTTTTGTTTGCTTGTTTGGTGTTTTTTGTTTGGTTGGTTTTTTTGGTGTGTTTTTTTTAATGTGTTTTTTGTTTGGTTTTTGGTGTTTTGTTGTGTTTTTTTTTTGTTGTTGGTAAGATGTTAGATCAGCTCTAGCAGTTACAGGAGCTGGGATGGAGATGGAAAAGGTGGAAATACTTGGGATTGTTAAAATCACAGTACTTGTGATTGCATCTGCCATGTCTATTTATCACCATGGCTATTTGCAGTTAACTCCTTATCTTGGGCAGAAGTGGCATTCTGGTCCTTCCATGTCCTTACGGTGTACTGACCTGCTTCTGACAGCTCCCATTTTCCAGTCTCCAAATTTTTTAGATTCCAGAGAGGTGGTGTCACATACTTATGAGCATCTTAAGAGCAAGGCATCTCGTGCTGGATTCAGAGTTTATTTTCCTTGCTGGTCTTCAAAAGACATACGCATCCTGTGATAAATTCAAGCAGCCTGGGTACCATTCCTTATGAAACTAAGGGAATGGGAAAGGGAAGGGATACTTACTGTACTTCCAAATACCAAAGAAATTTTAAGATGCAGGTAGAACAGAGAATGAGCAGTGTGGATTGGTGGTTTATTTTGGTTTTGTTTTTTTTTTTTTTTTTCTCTGACTTTGGTTTTAGGAGGCATGGGGAGAGGGGGTTGGAGTCCTTCAAGGCTGAATTTAAAGAAAACTTTTTTTTCCTCTCAGTAACTGCCTAAACTGGTTCTTGGGACCCGTAGAGATTTTGAGCTCAGTCTTGGAAGTTGCTTTGTTCAAAGCTATTAACCCTAGGAGGTTTGTTTAAATTTCCCTATTAAGAGTCAGCAGAAGTGCTTATTTCTGTGTATTATTTCTGCGCACATGCGTAGCACTCCTCTTTTAATTACAGTATCCTGATTTAAGGCTCTTTTTAAAAGACAGTTCACTAGGGCAGCTTCACCTATTTATTTAAGGTGAGGCTTCCAGCTAGTCTTCTCAGATATGGATAATATTTTTGAACTCTGCAAGTTTCCAATTGAAATTCAAACTTACAGTAAGTTTTCTTATCTGTAATTATTTTTTTTCCTACTTGGAGGTGCCTGCCAATAGTTGAAAATTCATTCAAAGCATCTGCTTAAATGAGGAGGTGGTAGAGTTTTGTTTGTCAGAAATTACTTTTTGTCAGGAATTATTTATATATATTTACCCAAGCATTTTCCCACTCCCTTTGACCTTCTGCATTGAGCTAATTCTGCAGTTTACTGGACAAAAGGAAAATAGATGAGATTATCATAGAATCATAGAATGGGTTGGAGGGAATTCAGTTCCAACCTTCCTGCCACGGGCCAGGGACACCTTCCACTAGAGAAGGTTTCTCCAAGCCCCATCCAACCTGGGCTTGAACACTGCCAGGGATGGGGCAGCCACAGCTTCTCTGGGCAATCTGTGCCAGCACCTCATGACCCTCACAGTTAAGCATTTCTTAATATCTAATCTAAATCTACTCTTTTCTGGTTTTAAGCCCTCATCCTATCACTACTTGCTGTTACAAAAATATTGTTACAGCTCTTTCCAGCAGACCACTTTGAATTGGAATTTTAGATTCATTAAGCAAAATAATGTTATGTAGTTTAAAATTTTTTTATTTTAAGTATTTTTAACACGTCTGTGGATCTTTGGCTGCACATGTGTCTCTTAAGTCTGTAAGCCCTGGCCCAAAGCACAGAATTTAAAACCTTGAGAATAGACTAACTCTTCTCCCACAGCACCAGAGGGCCACCTTAGGTTTGCCTTACATGGGTGCTAGAAAGCTTGTGTCATTCCTTAATTAATTAGTGACTGTCTTTGGAAATCTTGTCTGTGTAAGCAGTTTGTAGGTCAAAACAGAAATGTAAAATACTGGATAGTATATTTCACTGATCAGATTTTAGGCCTGCTTGCTTTTGCAGATGTTTCTAAGGAGTAGCAAACCCCTATTATTGTTTAAGAACTGTGACTCTCTTGCTTAATAGGTAAAGCTAATTTTTATGGCAAAAAATGGTAGATGATGACATAGGAGTCAGTTGAACACCTGCCCATAGGGCACTGACCAAAATCTGATTGTCATCAAGCGTAAACACTCAAGCCTAAAGCTGGTTTTACTTCATTTCAGTCACACAATTTTTAAGATTGCATCATCTGTTCTAGAAATTCCACACAGCCTGGTGCAAGGAAGAAAGGAAGGAAAGAAGGGAGTCTGCCTTCTTTTTAGCTGCTTAAAGTAGTCATACACACCATACAAAACCAATTGTTGATAACGCCTAATGTTGATTTGATCACCTCCCCACGGAATGATTCTTAAAAATTTGTAGTTAGAATCCCTCTTGGCAGAAGAGAAATGTGTGTTAGTTGTGGAAAAAATGTCCACGTCTGTCTCTGTCCCACAGCCCTCCTCCCCTCCAGTTCTTCTCACAACCAGATTATTTGGTGATAGTTTAGGGGTTTTCATGTTTTCTGAGCTGCTTAGGAAGAAGACCGACAAAAATATAGGAAAATAATCAGGTTTTGGTTATAGGAAAAATGGTGTGAGCAAAAGCAAGCCCAAGCAGTTTTGTTATGAGGGCTCTGCACATCATGGAAATGTGGAGTTACTTTTTTATCAAGAGCAAAACTGTGGCCTGTAACTGCTATGTGTACATGGAACTTCTGTTTTCAGGAAGTATTATTTAGCTGAAAAGTGATTTTTATATGAACATTGTTCTTGCCACTTTCTGAACTTGAAGATAGTCTTCAGCTGCTAGATAGAGAGGACATGGAGAATGTGAATGCCTTAGCAGCACGCATTCATTTGGTTCTCAAACCGTGGCAGAGAATGACAGGGTAATGATGTACATAGGTGATAGAAGCTAAAGAAAATACGACATTGGTTTAATTCAGCTGACACCTCTTATGTTATTGAAGCCTGGAAATAACACTGCTGCCTCACCCCCATTCTCTTTTCAGTAAAAATCTTAAATTCTTGTTACTCTCAGAGTACTTTTCTGCTGCATAGTATTGAGAGAATAGCAAAAGATTTAGGAATATTAATTCTTATTCCATAAAAGTAATAACTAATAGTTCTTATCTCTCTCCAGGCACGCAAACAAATGGCCTGGACTTTCAGAAGCAGCCTGTGCCTGTCGGAGGAGCTATCTCTACAGCCCAGGCCCAGGCCTTCCTTGGGCATCTTCATCAGGTAAGAGAAGACCCATTTTGAAATAAGGTAGACTCGGACAGGTATGAGCACAGCTGCTCTTTTATGTTGTGTGTTCTCTCTTTCTGTGAATGATAGGAACATGCAAAGGATATATGGGTACACCACATGCTTATATAGCTTGGGTGGGAAAAAGTTCTTACTGTGGCACTCACTTCAGTGCGTTAGGCTGCAGAATATGTCAAAATAGGGTGAGACCTATTGGGGGAACTAGAGAGCCCCTTTCTGGGGACTTAAAAATGCCTAAAGCATTTGTATTTTCCCCCTACTCTCCCTGAATTTTAATGGAGATACTGAAAAGCAAGGTAAAATGTAATCGTTTTGATAAAGGATTGTACTGGCCCAGCAGCTGCCAGGGTTCTGAAGCTGTCTCCACCTGATGAATCGAGAAGTGGTGTTGAATGATTCGATCTTTCAAGCTCTTGCACATCAACTCGAGATATAAAGTGATGCTACTTACTAAGCATATACTGTTTGTGAGTTTTAATTTTTTTATTTTTTTAGTTACTTCAAGGACCTGTTTGTGAGATGATATTCAGGCTTCTCCTACTGTCTCTCTGTTCTGCTGATGCTGTGTTTAGTGAATCAAAGCTGAACTTCAGATGTAGGCTGAAGGAAAATAGGGCATCCCTAGGTGGAGAGAAGTATAAGGGGCATTTTCTGTAGTTTTTTTTTAATCTGCTCATACTTGATGTACGAAAACAAATGATGTCCTAATTTCTTTCCCTTCCTCAGCACCAAGATTAAACTTTAAAATACTGTACCTAATTGGCTGACCCTGAATGTTTGAGGTCTGAGGTTGCCCAGTTATTGTGGTATAATTGACATGCTGAAGCTTTTATGCCCTCTTAAAAGAGCTCTGAACTGCCATTTTATTGTGTGGAAGATTCCATACATCAAATAATTACAGTTTTCCTAGTAGTTTGGGTTATATAGGACCTAGGGAGTGACTGTGTTTGAATTTGCTGAACCAATAGGCTGTTGTAGGCTGCCTTTATGTAGAGAGAGGCTGACTAGTTTTCATGGGTTGTCAGTATGTGTTTAGCACAGAGACAGATACAGCTGTTCTGCTGAATTTTGTGTTTGTTTTTAGTCTTCGTTTTGTTACACAGATTGATCTGGGACAGTAATTGTATTTAGCACAATGCTATATTTTGCTTTGGAAATGTATTTATTTAAACAGTTGTCAGGATCTTTGTAACTTCATGTTTGATACGTGTGATTCATTTCTTGAAACTCTAGTTCAAAGGAAAATCTCAGCTATTCTTCTATGTACCTGCAGGTGTGTGGGACTGTATTGTCAAACTGTCCACTTCTAATGTGGTGGCTGCTAGTGGGGTTTTATTCAGCTTTATTTTTCACTGTTATTCACACACAGTGCTTTCCTCCAGACTGATACAAAACATTAGGTTGTAGGCAATATTCAGGAACAGTGTAAGTTTTAATTAGAAATGTTTTTTTTGTGTGTGGTAGAAGCTGTGTCCAAATTGCATTCAAAGATTTTCAGGAATATGCTGGCTGTACTTGAGTGAGATACATTTGTATAGTTTTGCGTGGTCTATCTTATATTATTTATTCATTTAAAAATATTATTTCTGAGTATATTTTTTGAGGGCAGGCTAATATAGTTTAGATTATTCTCTGCTGTTAATTCACGTTAAAAGTTGAGATTGCATCAACTTTGTCAAAGTATATTTTTGCTTGTGATGAGGAGGAGGTTTTCTGGGAGTGCTTGCTTAGATGTAGAATATGCTTAGTAACTTCAGCACCTTTGTCTAGAGTGGTAGGAAATATTTCCAAAGTGACTCTCAAGGGTTGCTTGTTCAAATACTCAGTTATTAATCTTGTGTACTGCAATTCAAATGAAAACTCTCCTTCCTGTGCTGGCAGATATGTGGGCTCTCTTTTGTGATGTGTATTATGTGGGGTCATCTTTTTACAGAGGCAAGAGTGCTACGTTTTGCTTTGCTTTATTGTATCCTTATGTGTTTCCTGGTTTTCAAATGAGCAGTGGTTTTCAAACATGACCAGAGGTGGAATTCACTACAGGCTGTAATTCTGACCTTTGAAAGTGTTGGTAATTAATTACATAGCATTCCTTCTTTATATTAGTAGGAGTGGTGGTAGAAACAAGGTGAGACCAACTAAAAAGGTTGTCAGTAAATGAAAATTTAGCATTTGTTGTACAGAGAAAATCCTTATTAAAGATAAAATAACACTTCAAAAATCTCACTTTCTGAAGCATGAGTTTTTCTTCACTGCTAACCCACAAAGACCTTCTTTGAACCTGTTAATTACAAACATTGAATTCAAGTTTTGAGTATACCTGAATCAATACAGCTTTTGTAAAGTGTCTCCACTCTCTGTTTTGAGATCTTTTCAGTGGCTGAGGGCTGTGCATACTTGAACAGGTTGATTTGAGAAAGAGTGTTTATGCTGTGGGTTTTGTGCTATGCAGGTGATTGCTCCTCTGTTGTATAAGAAAGTGGGTAAATGCAGTGTACATGTCTGGGGTAGTACCCATTCTGAAACACGAGAAGGATGATGATGAGCAGAGCTTACTGGCCTTCCCTGAAGCCTCAGTTTTATTTTTTTAAACAGGAATAGTTAGCCTGGCCACCTCAAAATGCTGTTTCAACTCAATTTCATAATAATATCTAGATCTCTAGGCAGGAATATGTTCAACAAGAGGTAGACGAACACTGTGGGAGAGTTACAGATTTTCTTTCAGCCTGGAGCACAGCCCTTTCGCTAATTCAGGTGTTAGAGGGGCATGCATTGTTCTTGGGGGAGTTTTTGTTGAGGTGGTTCTTTTTATGTTAAGTTTTTTGCTCATTCTATGTAATTTCATTTCCCTTTTTGCACTGTGTTGTAGGTCCAGCTCGCTGGAACAAGTTTACAGGCTGCTGCTCAGTCCTTAAATGTACAGGTAAAGACCGTTACCTTCTGTTGCTCATCCTTCTCTCATTCCAGACAGCTTTGTGGTCCTATTAGAAATGGTTTTTAACCTGTGATATGCTACTTTGTTTTTTCGTTTTGACTAGTCTTGCAAGTGTAGGTATGAAGGAATAATAGTTTTACAACTGTAAATCAGGCTCAGAATTGTTAGCATTCAGAAACTGGGGTTAAACCATGCAGTGATTGTAACTTTATACTGAATTTCAGACATGTATTGTATCATGAGAACTATAAACCTCCAGGAATATTTCATGTTCTTCCAGTTATTAATGTATTTTAAAAATAGCAAGTATTACTTTGCAATTTGTCCTTGCTTCTGGTAGCTGAATATATGAATATAATGTTACATTAACTATGTAATGCAGCTAGTGTAGATAGCTTGTGTAAATAACACCTAGTGATTTTAAAGTAAGTCAGAGTAATTGTTGTTTAATAACATACATGAGACATCAAAGCTTTGAAACTTTTATGCTCAGATGCTGAATACTTCAATGTGTTGGTTAATGCGCCACTTCCTCAGTAGTAGTTTAAGGGACAAGGGATTGATGCAGTCTTATTGAAAACAGGTTTCAGTAGTGCTTGTTATTAAAGAATGTAGGTAGTGCATTACACGGAATGCAATAGAATGTGGACCCACTTATACATAATAACGATTTGGAAAGAAGAGGAAGTACAATGACCTTCCTTTCTACGAGGAAGGAGGCAGAAAATTGCCTTGGTTGCCATGGTAAACTTCCATCCCTGAGAGAGATGTTGGCAAACAGGCTGTATCTCCAGTGCAGTGTTTACAGTCCTGCACTGTAATTATCGCTCAATGACTGGCAGAATTAATCAGAGCCTTTATGTTAATTAGCCTGCTCTGCAGCCCCCAAAACAGGTGGTGGAAAATATGCAAATCTATGCAGAATTTTAATGTTCTGCATAACCAGTTTTAATTATCATAAAACTCTCCCTCCATCATGCACTTGCATTTCCTCCCTCATGTCTTTACAGTTGCTTCTGTTAAAAAGACCCCAAACAACAAACCACAAAAAAACCCCAACAAATACCTCCCCCAAAATGAAAACCACAGAAAAAACCCTAAGCCCCCAAATATTTTAAAATAAAGTAGCATTCAGTTGAATAAATGCTAAACTTTGATTATTTAAAAGCATTGTATTTATTATGTATCTTGCTGTAGGTAGATAAACCTGTGAGGATTTCTCGAACCAGTTCTCTATAAGCCAACAGAATGATAACTTAGGGGTGTAGGATGCAGATACAGAAAATGGAAGCACAATCTCCTTTTCTTCATTCCCTTGTTCAGGATTTTAGGCAATGAATAATTTTAACGACCTTTTCTTTCTTTATGGTGAAAGGTAGTGTCAGCTTCAACTGCATTGCATAAAATGAAATGAGACCTGGAAATTATGTCAAAGAGTTACAAAAGACCTGAGAGTCTTTTTGTTTTTGTTTAAGCTGCATTACCTGCAGAGGTGTTTGAGCAATTGTAGCTGAGATGGTGGTCACATAGAGCCGTTGCTTAAACACACTCTTAAACCCAATGGCTTTTTGTATGCAGATGAAACATTTTTATTGTGCAGTGTTGAGAGACAGCAGTGTTATACCTTAACATATGTTTTACACTATAAAGAGCTGGTGGTTTTTTTGTTTTGTTTTTTTGTTTTGTTTTGTTTTTTGACTAGTCTAAATCTAATGAAGAATCTGGGGACTCTCAGCAACCATGCCAGCCTTCCCAGCAGCCTTCAGTGCAGGCGGCCATACCCCAGACCCAGCTCATGCTGGCCGGAGGACAGATCACTGGGGTAAGATTTCCCCAAGTATACTGTAGTAAGCCTCCTGTCCAGTAAGTGATGGTACTATGTGTGGCAGGCCCCATAGAGCTATCAATGAGGGTAACTGTCATTTCCTTTAGCATAGGAAGAAACTCAAGTGCAAGAGGGGACAGAAAATATCTCCTATAAAAAAAGGAGAATTTAATCTTTGAGTTTAGTTGCAAAATACTTGCTTTAAGAAAAAAATATCTCTGTTCTAAATATCCATCCTGTCATCAAGAGGATTCCCCCCCCCCCCCCCCCCCGGTTACAGTGAGGCATGGGAACATGAAACTAAATTATATCAGATAGCCAGGTGAAGACCAGAAATTACGGGAACTGCTGGCACTAATTCTTCCTCTTCTCAAACATGTTTCCTCTTAAGTAACTGTATTAGTGCTTGACTTAATCCCACTCAACCCTCCTGGTTTAATTTACCAATTTTGATTCTTTTAATTGCACAGCTTTGGAAGTAATTAAGAAATAACTGTTGGTTTAGGATTACTGGTGTTTCTGAATTGTGGTAAATGCTTTCAGTCATTTAAAAAAAAAGCAAGTTCTGTGAATTGACTGGTTTGGTTAAAGAGCTTGTTCCTGTGTAATCTGCTTTGCAGTAAGAGTTTGCATGTTAACAAGGAGTGTAAGGTAGTTGCTTCAACAGTGTGTTTATGATTTGAAGTACTAGGTTAGATTATCTCTACTCTTGAATGGAACAGTATCTTAATTTCATGTTCAGTTGTTAGATCTTCTGGTATGCTAGTGTGTAAGTGAACATCCTATTTAGTTTTTGTTAATTACATTTGAAAGTTTTTAAAGTGAGATTGTTTTAATATGCGAGTGAGACTGTGCTTAAAACTCAGCATATTTTATTATTATTCTCATTCTCAAAAAAAGAAAGGGTTTGTTTTAATTTATGATTGTCTGTAGTGGTGAAGCATTCTAAATTCCAGGTCTATGCAGATATGGATTGTAGTAAATATGGGCATCAATATTCATTTACACGTAAAGGAGAGACTGCTGCCACCTGTTTCACAGAGATAATGCATGTTTGGGAAAAGGAAGGGATGTAAACTTGCCAACTCTATTCTACTCAAAAAAAAAAAAGGCAGTGGGGAGACTTGGAGAGAAACAAATGGAGCTCATGTTCTTATATCTTATGGCATAATGGAAATGATGAAATATGGCAGAGATTCATGCTAATGTGAAGCAGCTGGGGTGTTATCAGTTTGTTCAGTAGCCATAGCCAGCATTCCTGCTTCTCATTCATCTGGCAAATTACTTGCTGTTCTCCTGGGTGTAAATTTCCTTTCAAATCCTGGCAATACTGATTCTTTTCTTTTGCTAGCTATTAATCACCCTTTTCCTGAACCTCCTGGTAGAGTTGTGAAAAAAAGTTAGGAGTAAAGTTAGGTTCTGTAGTTTCCAGTAAGTGCAAATACTTGCCTTCATGCAGTTTGGTTTATGGCAGGTGTGTGGTGGGTTGGTTCCTACATCTTATTGAGTAGCCAGCTGCCCTTACTGATGGCCAGAGTCATTGGCTAGTTAATGGCTGAATTGTAGTAACAGTTCTAGGCATGTCTGGGTAATACAACTACTAATGAGCTAGCTAATGACTTTGTAGCTGAAGTGGCTCTTTCCATTATTAATGGCTATGTTTTCTAATTATTTATAGCTCACGTTGACGCCAGCTCAGCAACAGTTACTGCTACAACAGGCGCAGGCACAGTTGCTGGCGGCTGCAGTGCAGCATTCAGCCAGTCAGCAGCACAGCGCTGCTGGTGCTACCATCTCGGCCTCTGCTGCAACGCCGATGACGCAGATCCCTCTATCTCAGCCAATACAGATTGCACAGGTGAGCCTTGAGGCTTCAGAGGGTGGAAAATAAAGAGGTTTGAATAACTGCATCATTCAAATGCTATTTTTCTTTCTTATTCAGTGAGTTTCTAGAGTCTTTGAGTACTATTAGTCTTTTCTTATGCATCCTTAGCTGATGAGATTGAAGTTGATAGTTTTAGCAAAGAATGCATACCAGTTGCTTATCAGTTCCACTGGGCTTCTCAGTCTGTTCCAGAATCTGACCAGGTGCTATATTTTCTGAAATTTCCTCTTTCTTGTAGTTAGCTTGAGAAAGGAGAAAAAGGGGTATAGAAAGATGCCCATAGAAATGATAGTTGTCAAGACCTGTGTGGATGGGAAGGGACATGAGGTACGCATGCTTTTGGAGGAGTTATCCCCCATGCGCCTCAGCACTGAATAAAAAGCATACCTACTTTACAACTTTAATGAGTTGTGGAGCCTGTCTGTGCATCACACATATATCAGAAAGAATGCTTGTCAGATCCAAATAGCAAAATGATAGAGCTGATGGTTTGACTTGACATGGTTGTGTGGTATTTTGGCTTGGTGCTTATTGCTCCGAGTTCAGTGACAAAGAATGGGTGCTCTTGTGTGTAATGAGTCTGGTGTCGGCATCTTTACAGTTTTATGGTCTGGTGCTAAAAGACCTGTTAATTCTTAATTCTACTTGTGAAGCAAGTTCTGCTTACTAGGAGTAGCAAAGATCCTGGGTCTTCCAGGATTGGCTTAGTTCAGTGTGGAGAATGCAGTGCCACTGACTATATGCTTAGTAAATGTTATGGTGAATCTTCTGCACTTCTGGACAAGGGTAACCAAATATACAGCATAGGCATCTTGAGTACTACTAGTACTTGTGTTGCTGAGGTCCATCTTCCCATAGATTAAGGTTCTTAGTATGTAATATTCCAGTTTGATTAGTGTAGATATGCAAAATATATTGGGAATGTAATCTCCAAAGTTGCTACTTCTTACAGTGCCTAGGTTCTTTAGAAAGGCTGGTGCTTTCTATTCTGACTTTTCACTTGCATTTAACTGGGATGAAGTGTCCAAGAAGTGAAGATGAGGGCTGGTTAAGTAAAAGAATGGAAATGCTGCAATTACCTGTGACATCCATTGGTGAAATACGCTATTCCTTTATTGTGCTAGTCTGCTATCTGAATAACAGCCTGGTTGTGCTATCAGGTTTTTCTTACCTGAAGTGGCAAACTTCTGTGGTGTTGGTCTAAAAGTTCTGACCTCTTTGGCTGTCCTTACAAAGGCCGGAGTGATGCCAACCCACTTATAGAAGGCCAGAACTGAAGTTGCCCACTGAGTCTCTTGATGTCCTGTGACCAGATATTACTACTTCTTTTATCAAAGTATCCCACTCTATTGTCATGATCTGGAGATGATTCAAGAATGTAGAGTTCAAGGAAGCTCATAACTCCCACGATTACCTCTTAATTTTCTTGAGTCTTTGTCTCTAGCCAGTAATACAGGCATATTTCAAGAAAAGAATTGGAAATGTCCTTGTCATTAGCTTCTAGCATCTCTCTGTGCATCTGTCACAGGGTTCCCATTTGATATTATGTGAGTCAACCTAAATGTAAGTGATCCACAGGCATTAGTGGATAGTTTTGTGCATGTGCAAGATGTGGTTAATCCTGCTCTTCCACTTCAGTGGGAAGCTATGAAAATGCATGAAGTGCTTAGAATTACTGATTTCATACTGGGGTTTTCTCCAGAACTTAAAGAATCTTCAGAAAAGTGTTTGAGAAGAGTTGAAAAGATCAGGCATGTGCTGTCAAGTAGGAGCTTCTGAAGTGCGTATTGTCTGGTTTGTGCATGTGAATGAGCTAAAGGTTCTGTGAAAAATGGCATGTGATCATGTAGTTCCCACTTATACAAGTACATGCAATGTGTATTTGTAACACAGGGGTTAAAAAGTAAAGTTTTGCTTGTTTTCTGGCATTCCTCACTATGTAAATGCTTGGCTTTACAATTAATTTATTTTAGGATAGGTTTATTTTGATATATAAATGTAGCTTGGTTGAATCTTGTTAGCTTCTTATGATGAAAATACAAGGCATAATATAGAATCATAGAATAGTTAGGGTTGGAAAGGACCTTAAGATCATCTAGTTCCAACCCCCCCTGCCATGGGCAGGGACACCTCACACTAAACTATGTCACCCAAGGCGCCAGGGGTGGAGCATTCACAACTTACCAGGGCAACCCATTCCAGTGCCTCACCATGCTTACAGTAAAGAACTTACTCCTTATATCCAGTCTCAACTTCCCCTGTTTGAGTTTGAACCTGTTACCCCTTGTCCTATCACTACAGTCCTTAATGAAGAGTCCATCCCCAGCATCCTTGTAAGCCCCCTTGAGATACTGGAAGGCTGCTATGAGGTCTCTGCGCAGCCTTCTCTTCTCCAGGCCAAACAGCCCCAACTTTCTCAGCCTGTCTTCATATGGGAGCTGCCCCACAGTCCCCTGATCATCCTCGTGGCCCTTCTCTGGACTTGTTCCAACAGTTCCCTGTCCTTTTTATGTTGAGGACACCAGAACTGCACACAATATTCCAAGTTGAGGTCTCACGAGAGCAGAGTAGAGGGGCAGGATCACCTCCTTTGACCTGCTGGTCATGCTCCTTTGGATGCAGCCCAGGATACGGTTGGCTTTCTGGGCTGCAAGCACACACTAAAGCCGGCTCATGTTAAGTTTCTTATTGACCAACACCCCCAAGTCCTCCGCAGAGCTGGCTCTGAATCTCTTCTCTGCCCAGCCTGTAGCTGTGCCTGGCATTGCTCCGACCAAGGTGTAGGACCTTGCACTTGGCATGGTTAAACTTCGCTGGTAAGGTTGGCATTGGCCCACCTCACAAGCATGTCGAGGTCCCTCTGGATGGCATTCCTTCCCTCCAGTGTATCAACCGAACCACACAGCTTGGTGTCATCGGCAAACTTGCTGAGGGCAGACTCAATCCCATTGTCCATGTCGCCAACAAAAATGTTGAATAAGACTGGTCCCAACACCAATCCCTGAGGGACACCACTCGTTACTGGTCTCCAGCTGGACAGTGAGCCATTGACCACAACTCTTCGTGTGCAGCCATCCAGCCAGGTCTTTATCCACCAAGTGGTCCATCTATCAAATTGATGTCTCTCCAATTTAGAGGCAAGGATATGTGCAGATGTTGGATATAAATTAAGATACCCTGTAGAAATCTGTACATTTGTAGATGAATGAAACCATACTTTTTGGTCTTGACAACCATTTACAAGTACTGCTCAGCTTTGTTTGCATTGGTATTGTAAACATATAGCTGATTACACAGCTGCATGTTTGTTTTAATTGATGATTTTTGAATAATTGATTGATTGGCAGGCTTCTGCAGCAGGGGGGTTACTCTGTTTAATTAACTAGTTGCAGAAGCATCATGTCTTTCATTTGCACTCAGTTAATGTCAGGTTATCAGCTGCAGCAGTGTGGTAAGAGGTTAGTGTTGCTGTTGGGCTGTTGCTAAATTGACACTAAACAGTTTAAACAAGTTTTGGAGTTCTTTGTAAAAGTTACTTTTTTCAGGATCCATGATCGGTGTTTATATGATGTAGACTTCAGTGTCAAAGATGCTTAAGTTCTGAAGTCGTAGCTAGAGATAATCATAGAATTGTTGGGCTTGGAAAGGACCTTAAGATTATCTAGTTCTGACCACCCTGCCATGGGAAGGGATGCCTCGCACTAGACTCTGTTGCCCAAGGCTCTGTCCAACCTGGCCTTGAACAGGGCCAAGTATGGAGCATTTACCACTTCCTTGGGCAACCTGTTCCAGTGCCTCACCACCCTTAAAGAACTTCTTCCTTATATCTAACCTGAATGTCTTCTGTTTAAGTTTAAACCCATCACCCCTTGTCCTATTGCTATAGCCCCTAATGAATTTAGAACTTCAGATGACTTTAAAAAACAAACCAAGATACTTCCTCATGTCAAGATGCATCACTTGACAGATTATTCTGCCAAGATAGGAGCTTTTGATCTTTCTAAATTGTTAGGTAGCACTAGAAGAAGTGCATGTTTCCTGAAAAGTCTTTCCGTCTCTTTCTACGTGCTTGTGCTAGTAGACAGATTTTTGCCATTGAGAAGATTGGTATAGGGAAACAGTGTCAGGTTTGTTTGCATGGTTGCTATTGGGAGATTTATTGTAATGTGACAATTAAATAATAGAACTTTCCCAAGGTAGAAATAAAGTTGGCTTTCAAATTAATTTGAGGGGCTATTTAAGAGTGATTAGCCTTGGAGGTATCTTTTTCCATTCTGTGCTATGGAATTATATTTCTGTATTTAAATAAGACTCAGCCAACATACCATTTACCAATGTAGATGCGCAGAATAAGATTGCTTTATACCAGTTATCCCCGAGGCCTCAATTTAAAAAACAGTTTTTTCTATTAAAGTGTAAGAGCCTGATGATAACAGCTGTCGTATCTTAGCTGAGTACCCTGTTTTGTGAATACTATAGTTTTAAACAGAAAGCTCTTTTCTTTTGATCTCAGAAACACACTGCCACTGTTTCTTTGTATTCTTTTTGTTATATAACTCCATCTACTGTGGTACTTCCTCACATCATCTGAGATCTACATGATCATCTGTGTGTGTGTGTGTGTTTGGTTGTTTGCTTTTGGTGGGGGAGTCCAGACAGAAAACCTGTCTTTCTGTCCCCAGCTTTTCCTTAAAAAATTTCTGTCCAACTCTTCCTTTTGTATTTCTACTTTTTTGCTTATCTACCTCTATTTGAATCCTTCAGTCTCCATTTATTTTAATTCCACCCAGTGTTCACAGCCTTAGTCAGCTTGCCCTACTCTTTCTATTTTTGTTTCTTCCTCTGCATCTAGTCCTTGCATCCATTTCAGTAGGAGTCCCTCTGTGTTGGAGGGTCTGCTCAATCTGAAAAGGTAGCCAGTAGAACATTGGAAATAAGTGTTCTACTGTTCTGTTGTGGTTTGGACTGAAGAAATAAGAATTTCTAGTAACAGTTCTGCCTGATCTAACTTCATAGTACGAAAACAGAAGAAATATGGAGTTCTTGGGTAAAAACTGGAGTAGTTATATCTCTATTTTGGAAGGAAAATTGCCTTGATTTCATAGGAATGGTTGCAGTACTTCTCAAATTTTCTGAAAGCAAACAATACCATCAACTTCAAAACCACTCTGTTCTGCTGGCAGGCACTTTTTGAATATTACCATTCTCTTAGTTTTCATTTCTTAAAGAGCATTGCTTGGTCAGCCCATCTGTTGTCTGTCTACCATACTGCTACATTGCATGCTTTTGACTTACCATGACCAAGTTGCCTAAGTGATTGATGGCCAGTGTCTTCGTAATGCAGGTTAAGTAGTCATTTTCTTACAATTCCTGTGTGTGGTCTCGTAAATCAATTCACTTTTTTTTTTTTCCCCTCCCTAGTCTTCCTTTCTACCCACTGATACTCCTGACCTCTCTTCCCCAGCAGGAGATTGTTGCACCTTTGAAGTCTTAGTTTAACAGTTTAAAAATCATGTAAGGCCATAGTCAGATAACTGTATTCTGCAAATTATTGTATTGTATAAATAAAAAGTTATTCTTGTCAGTCTGTCTTGACTTTCCATCACTGGCAGTTAATGGCCTTTCACATCTGCTGTCTGAGCAGCTTGTTTGAGTGCTCAGTAACCTGCATCAGTCAAAATGTGTGCGGGTGGCTTTACGGGTCTTAAGAAGCAGGTCTTAGTGTGGCTTATCAAGTATGTTAAAACTAGCAGCTCCATTCAGGCAGCAAGACTGAGCACTGTTTAGGGGCAAACTGGCAATGTTAACATTTTCTGACACAGACCCGGAAAAGGGCATCTGCCTGCAGACGGGTACCCCAGTATCTGAGTAACTCATCAGAATTAAGAGTTTTGGGAGGTTTTTTTGTTTGGTTCGTTTGGTTTGTTTAATGGGAAATTCTATGTTTGGGCAATATCCCAGGCTTTTATCCATCTGCTTGGTGGGTATTTTGAAACAGTTTCTTCCCAGAAAGGTAGAAAGATTCTACACAAGTAAATAGATAGTTTTCATAGATTACCTCTGTTATGTTGGCCAGCTTCATGTTGTGCTTCCATTTTCAAATTTCAGTTACTCTTGTTATTGTTGTGTGTGAAGAAGATGAAAGGAAGATTAGCATTTTTCAAAGATTAGTGTTTATGTTGAGACCAGCATTTGATTATAGAGAATTAATAGTTCTGAATGGTTTACATACATAAAAATGGGGTTCTACAGTAGTGCAGTGCTTTCAATTATCCCTTTTAATCTTTAATTGTAACCATGTTTATTAAGCTTATTGTAATTTGATGAAAAACTAATAAAATATATTTATTTGCTATTTATGTTAGCTACTTTCTGAAATTTGGACTGAAAAGTGCAAGCTAGGAAGCTGTAATTTTTTGCTTTCCTGTTGCTGATTAGAATGGTAATTGCAGATTATTGTTGTTATAAATAAAATAGCTCCCACCTAATATGCTTGATTTGTCAACAGTGAATTTTGTAGCAAAGTTGTATCCTCAGAAAGTAAGTCTGAAAAATGTGGGTGCTGATAATTCAAAAGTATTTGAAACCTACTGCATTTGGGGTGGGGAGAGAGGGACTAATTTTCTTTTTTGTTAAAGCAGAACAGTGCTGGAAATACTTTGCTGAGTTATTTGGTACACAATTTTTGTTTGGTTTTACAAAGGACAGAGAAACTCAAATTGTCAGTGTAAAGGATATTCAGTAGCAGGTAGCAAGACTGCTGTGTTGGACATCCACATTTATCTTTAAGTGTTAGAATATAACTGGTTGATAGGAAATCTAGTTACACTGGGAGTCATGGCTGACTTAAATGTCTAACACACAGTTCTCTCTTTTCCCTTTTTTTTTTGTTTTCCTTTTTTGTCCGTCCCCCCCCCGTCCCCCCCCCCCCATTTCTTCCTCCCCCCTTCCCCTGTTTCCTTAAGGATTTGCAGCACTTGCAGCAGCTTCAGCAACAGAATCTCAACCTGCAACAGTTTGTGTTGGTGCATCCAACAACCAACTTGCAGCCAGCACAGTTCATCATCTCTCAAACACCGCAGGGGCAGCAGGGTAAGTGGGCCTTGCCAGGAAAGAAAATCGTGCATAGCTTTTTAGAGAAGGTGAAACCTTCACTAACTGTTGATATTCCCTAGAAGAAATAACAGTATTGCGATTAGGAGACTTGAAAGGGACACCTCCTTTCTGGGTGTTAGAGGCAAAATGCTAAGACTGTCCCGTGGTTTAACCTGGCAGGTAGCTAAACACCACACAGCCACTTGATCACTTCCCGTGACTGCTGTGGGATGCAGGAGAGGATTTGTGAGGAGGGAGGGGGGAAGAAGTAAAATTTGCGGGTTGAGATAAAGACAGTTAAATAGGACAGAACCAGAAGGCATGATGATGATGGTGACAATAAAAAAAATCAGAATATACAAAACAGGTGATGCACAGTGCAATTGCTTACCACCTGCTGACTGGTACCCAGCCAGTTCCTGGGCAGCAGTCCCTAGTCGGCTTTGCCCCTAGTTGGCTTTGCTCCTAGTTTATATACTGAGCATTATGTCACATGGTATGAGATATCACTTTGGCCAGTTTAGGTCAGCTGTCCTGGCTATGCCCCCTCCCAGCTTCTTGCGTCCTCCAGCCTACTCACTGGTGGGGTGGGGGGAGAATCTGAAAAGTCCTTGACTTGGTGTAAGCACTGCTTAGCAACAACTAAAGCATCAACATTATTCCCAGACTAAAGCCAAAACACAGCACTATTACCAGCTACTAGGAAGAAAAATAACTATGCCAGCCAAAACCAGGACATGCTGGAAAAAGATGACGAAGTCAAGAGTCCTTGTGGGAGACCGCTAAAGTCCTTAAGCCTAAGGAGGGTATAGTGAATTTTGTCATGAACTGAAATAATAATTGCACCTTGAGAAAAGAGCTAGAAGGCTTGATTTTTATTTTTATTTTTTAATTCCTCCTGGAAATATTATTCTGGTGGTAAACTGGGTATGGCTTACATGCTAAAGGCAAACCAAGGCAGTGGTAGGTGGTATTGTGCCCAGCCAGTTAAGATGTTGTATAGTAACTTTTCTCTTAAGTACTAATGCATTCATGTTGCAATAAATCAGAGTACTGATTGCACCCCATTTGTTGATGTCCACAGAAAACTGCGTTTAACCATGGTCTCTTACACTGACATACAAAAATGGGTCTTCCTCCCCCCCTTTCTTTTCTGTATGAACTCAGTTGTTCAGATCTGGTAATCCAGAGATGCTTACTCAGAAGGCAGCTCCTGTTATGCTTGAAGAGTCCTCCAGAGTCTGGCTGTCCTATAAAGCAGCTCTTTGCACTTCGTTTTCTTTTGATTTTTTTTTTCATGCATCATTCCTTCTTACATACTATGAATTGGATAGAACTGGCTTTCCATTGTGCTGAATCCCTCATACTGTCTGAATGCCCTCACATTTGGATAAAGTGTTAGTCAAAATTAACGTTTTTTTTTTAAAATAGGACTTGATTTAGGAGAGCTTTTATACCAGCACTGGTAAAAAGTAGCTAAAAGGCTATTTATGGAAGCATTTAGTGATGTACTGATTTCTTAAAAAGAAGCAGAACTTACAAGCCTGACATATTCTTCTAGAAGAATTCAAACTTAAGCAAAATTTAGTTCAAGGATTCTTTAAAATAGGCAGTTTTCTTTTTCTTTTTTTAAGGAAACAGCAACAACAAAAAAAACCCATTGTTTTGAAAAGCTTACAGGTTTTCTAAAAAACACCTACATTTTTCAGCTAACCTGCTGGTTTTCTAAAATATCTCTGAAGATGGTTCACAAAAAAGGAAACTAACAGAAGCAATTATATTAATTTCTCAAAATTAATTTCCTTCATTATAGAAAAGAAGGAAAACTATTTGTTTTCTTTAAAAAAAATCTGTTGAAGTAGAATAACTACTAGAGAGGTTTTCATAGTACCTTTTTGAAGGACCGTCTCTGAAAATGATTTCTTCACTGCAGTTTAAGACCTGCATGTTGCTGTCGTCAGTGATGCAGTGTGTGTAGAAACACCATTTTTTACTGGTAATGTGCAGCCTGGACAACTGAATAGCTCAAAAATGTTGGAAGATTTATATTCTGACCATAGGTCATTAGTGTGTGACAGTCTTCCAAACTGAAATGCTTGAATGGATCCAATTTTCTTCATGAGCACTCAATGATAAAGCAACATGTATGTCATAATATCTCTTATATCACTTTTTGGTATGGCTTTGTGCAGTATTTCATGGCTATTGTTAGAAGATCTCAAACAGCATGTTATTATTTACAAGAAAGATTGAGAAAGTGTGTATTTTTATTTTGTTGTTTGCTGTTGCAGCTGGCTTTTCCATATTTTTCTTGTCCTTTTAGTCCTACTTGTACATTAGTCAACTTCATAAAATAATATTTTTTAACAAAGTAGCATAGAGCTTTCTTTAAAACCAGTGGCATTCAGGGTTTTTTTGCTGCCTCATTGGTACTGTATATGGCTTTATATATATATATGTATGCATTTAATAACTAATGAAAATTCAGGTTTATTTATGCATTATCTGTTCTGGAAGAAATCAACTGCTTTACAGACTACGTATTTTGTACGTTCCAGTCACATAAATGAGAAATACAGTTTTTAATACAGAGATTAGTTGAGGGAAATGAAGAATGTTATCTCTAAGCAAGATTGTATAAAAAATGTAAACATTAGGTAGAGAGAAGCTTCTTTTACTTGAAGAGGTGGTGGTGTGCAGAGTAATGCAATCATCAGCAATCATATTGAGATTCTTGGAAGGGGTTGAATGTCATGGCTTAGATGTAACTTCTGAAAAAAAATTTAGAAAATTCAACACCTAAAATACTAATCAACAATGAGGATGTTATTCTGCTATCTTTCTTCAGCACGCATAGCTCACAGCAGCATATGTGAAATTCTCCCTTTAAATGCACTGTCATATGTCTGGTGTAGTCATCTTTTCCACATGATTTCTGGTTATTCTCTGGCTGAGATGAAACAAATTGTGAAGTTCCTGTTTTTCACGTTTGGTAACGGGTATCATCATAACTGAAGGAATTGTTTCAAGACTCAGCAGATATGCAGAAGATTGAATGGAAATAGAAATTTGGAGCAATTTCTTATTCAGAGCAATTCTTGTCCGCTTATTATTGCTAAGGTCACAGGCAGGAATGTAGCACCTTGTACAGTGTTTATACATCTTTTATCTGTTCTCCTATCTAATAGGTCTGTCTGTAGAATAATCAATTCAACATCCTTTACTTACAATTATAGCTGTTTCTTAAAAGTATTACCCTCATCAAATGACCATTTGCCTTCCTACTCAGAAGATATTGCCAATAAAAATCACATCGGTAAAATCTGAATGGAGAGGGGAAATCGTGCTTCATTTCATTTAAATTAATCTTGCAAACAGAAGTTAAGACATGAGAAAAGAATGTATCATTGGAAAGGAAATTTGGAATCAGTACTTATAAAGAAAGTATCCAAAAAGGCAAATGTGGAAGATAAGCTGCTAAGTAGCTTTAAACATTGAAACTGGGCCTACCTATTCTCAGTTTATTCCTGTTTATTATTAAAAACCTTGTTTATGATTTTATTGTAAAAATACCCAGGAAGATGATGGCAGGCCAAATCCAGTGCTGTTCTTTTCTTTCATGCTTGTCCAACAGACTTTGAGACTTCACTTGTATCATTGAAAAAAACACAATCAAACACATTTTTAAAATTAAATAATGAATGTTAAACATCAGTACCTACCCTGCTGGCCTCTGGTACCATAAATCAGAGTGCAGCTTCCTCACCCAGTGTCAAGATGGAGGAAGATGCCTGAAGTTTCCTGTATTTCTTCTCAGATGCGTCAAATTTGTAATGGACAAGCATTCATCTCATCTGAAATTGTGCACATGTACTGCCCTTACAGGACTCTTTCTCGTTTTGTTAATAATATGCTCTGTGAACCAGGTGAAGGTGCTTAGGTCTCCTCAATATGCAGATGAGGAGACCCAGGATTTCATTGTCATTAAGAGACCCTTGATGACAACGTATTTGCTGACACAGCAGTTGAATGAAATGTACCTGAGTCTGCACATAAGAGGGGAGAGCTTGAAGTGGAATAAGGAAGAACTTGGGAGAAGTAATTTAAATGTTAACTTTTCCCCATGTGCTACAAATATACTCATTACCAAGATCTGAATTAAATCCCTCTAATGTTTCCTGTCCTCTTTGAAATTGAGTCTTTGCTTCTAACCATCTGAACAGCATCAGTGAGTAAAAGTGCTGACTTTTAATTGAAGTAGTGTGGCAGCACCTTTGCATGGATCATTGAAACGATACTCTGCAAAACCACAGTGCAGCAGCTTCAGCACATTTGCGTCATGTTCCTGAGCTATCTTAAAGGGTACCTGGATGCAGCAAAAAGTGCAGCAGCAGCTTAACATCTTGGTGGAACAGATTTGTGGGAATGTATAAGTTAGTACTTTCTCTCTTGTGTTGGATCCTAGTATAATTCCAACTGTGAGTCCCCATTTTGGAACATCTGGATTTGATAAAATGGAGTACACCAAAGTGCCCAGAAGGTTCTTTGCATCAACAATGATAAACAAAGTTAATACACATAGCACTGTATGTAACATGTGGTATGACACCCTTCCTTCTTTCCTTTGAGTCGTTTCCAGTTCCTCGAATTATGACATTTTAATGGCTTTGTCTTGCAAGCTAACTTCCAGGATATGTCTGTGAGAAGATGAACAGCTCTGGCAAAGAATAAGCAGCCAAGTTCTTTTTAGATTAAAAAAAAAATATATATATATATATATATATATAAATAAAAATTACTCTTTTGGGGGATCAGATAGGAATGAATTATGTATTATGCTTCTGGGGCAACTTTTTAAAAATTATGCTGAAAAAAAATCTTCATTTGAATGGTTGTTTTATCTTTTGTTTAATTTCAGTAAGAAATAAATTCCAGATTAGTCTGTTGGCTGGCAGGAGAAGTTTTTTGCCTCGGACCAAAAAAATACTCTTGTAGACATTACAGGAAGTCCTGGATGATGGTAGATGCATTTACTTTAACTACTAAAAAACCCCAACCAAACCTCCAAAACATCTGAAGCACCATACCTTTGCATAAATCCTTATTTCCTCCATTCTTTTGGAGCATCATATAGGTGATACATGTGGCATATTTAGTGCAGTGCTACTACTGGACTCTTAGAACCCAAAGGACAGGGCTAGAAATACTACCTCTGTAAATGTAAGTATACAAGTACAAGTTTAAAAAGAAACGTAGGTTGGAAGGGACTTGTAGAGGTCATGTAGTATTTCTTGAAGCAGGTCCAATTACAGCAGAGTGCTTAGGGCCTTGGCCAGTTGACTTTGAACATCACCAAGTATGGATATTCTGCAGCTTCTTCAGGTATCTACCCCAATAGCTGACCACTCTCATGACTAAAATAAAATAGAAAAGTTTCCTTATGTCTACTTGTAGTAGACATGTTCCAACTCATCTCTTGCATCTCAGTACTGTGCACCCTCAAAAAGAGCCCATTTCTGTCTCTGAGGACAGAAATAGGATCTAACCTAATTTTTTTTCATAAGGCTGAACAGCCCAGCTTACCTACCTGTTCCTTATATGGTTGTTCTAGCCTGTTAGCCACCTTCGTGGGCGTTGAATGTACAATATCCAGGATATCATTGTGTCTTGTACACAGAAACCAAACGCTGAACAAAGTACTCTAGATGCAGTCTTGCTAGTGCCAAACAGAGGGCAAGAATTGCAACCCTTGACGTGCTGGTTGCACTCCTGTGAATAGAGCCCAGGACATGGTTGTTGACTGTCCTTATTGTAAGGACACACTGCTGGCTCATGCTCATCTTACTTGACCTCCAGGACACCCAGGTCTATTTTCTGTGAAACTGCTTTCTAGCCACCTAGTGTCCACCCTGTTTTGCTATACAGGCTTATTCCAGTCCCTATCCATGATGTTGCATTTTCCTGCACTGATCTTCATGAGTTTCCATTTGTATAATCTCTCTAGACCCTGACTTCTGGTTTATTGACCATTTTCCCTCTATTTAGTATTATCCACAAACTCCCTGAAAGTGTATTTTGTCCCATCAGCCTTATTGGTTATAAAGATATATATTTATTATAAAGGTATATTTATTAGAAAGATATATTTATATATTATATTAATACCCATTAATTCTTACCAGTACTGTTAAACAGTATTGATGGCAGTGTGAAGTTCCTAAGGAAACAGCAAAGTGCGAAACACCAGTATCTCAGCAGTTGCCTAAAAGGTGCAGTTTTGGACTTAAACTGTATTTGAAAGGCTGTGCTATGTGCCCTATAAGTTAAGTCACTGAAGTTTTCCTGAGTGGAAGTGGGGACCAGTAGTTTCTTCTCAGAAAAAAGCGCCCCAAAGATGAAGGTTAGGCAAGTCATGTTTGTGAAGAACAGAACTGCACGGAAGCCGACAGCAGTCCAAAGCACGTGCACGAAAAGTGTCTGGGAAGATTGTAAGCCCATGGAAGAGATGGATGCTTTGCTGAAACAGTTCACCTCCCCATGACCTGATTATTACTTCAGTCAGCTGCAGGTTGACCTAACTTCTTCTTCAGTTTTTGCCTGAGAAACCTTGTATCAGTATCTCTTAAATGGGATAAATTGATGTAAAAACTGAGCAGGTTAAACACATTCAGAATATTTTATACTGTCCCTCAGTGCTAATTACTTCAGAGGGAGAATAAACTGAGGAAAAATGTAGTCATCTTGTGTTCTCCAGCAAAAGTGTTATTGCCAGAAAAACACCCTCTGGGATTTCTTTGAGGACAAAAAATCCCGAAAGGACAGTCCTAGTCACTCTGATTACAGTCATAAGATCAGTGTAATGGGTTGCCCCTTTCCATTTCAAGTTATCAGTTAAAATTCACTGTCATTAAATGAAGGTCAAAACCTCTTCATATGGGGATGATTATTCACTAATTAATATTTAGATTGGGGCAGCTGAAGTCACCTTTCAAGTGAACAAATATTTGTGTTGTAATAAAGCACTGTGTAGTAGGGAGCTGTCTTCAGAGTTCCTTAAGCTGCTCCCTTCCCTCGCTGTGGCTTTTCAAAAACACAGATGGAACATGTTGATTATGTGATGCAAAGCAAATTTACATAGATGTCTATACTTGCATGAACATCTGGCTTTATTCTGTGGATCTTGATATTTGATAGCAATGCATTCTATTTAAAATACATGTTTAACAGTTTGTTTAAAAAAAGAATAGTAATATTACTGTCAGATGACAATTCTGTAGTTGTGTATCGCTCATTAAGGATACATTTTCTTCTTCCTGTCCCTGGTAGTCTCTCTTTTCATGTCTCCTATGGCCTTAACCTCATGTAAAAGATCCGGTTTCTCACTTGGTATTTATCAAGTCTTAAATTCTGGTGTCTCCTACCCGTGTTCTGCTAAGAGGTAGCTTGCAAGTGGTGTGCTTTGGTTAATCAGCCAGCTGATGAGCCAAATTCAAATTACAGAATTTAACTTAGTCGGTGTTCTGTCCTCTAAGTGCCTGTAGTGTCCATCTGTTGTTGTGCCATCATTCTCTCCTGGTTTTAGGACCTTGGTATATTGAAGATGTCTACTAAACATATGTTTAATTAGTCAGGTTCTTAAATTAATAAGGGGAAGTTGATAGTCATAGCCAGGAGTTACCTAAAGAATACCAGTAATATTTTAAACAATAAAATTGAGGGACTTGACTAACTAGGTATATTTTTGTCAAGATCCTTACACCTTAAAAATATATAAATTCTAATTTTTTGAATTAAAATTAATCAGATAGCTTATGGTTAAAATATATAGATGCAAGCTTATATCTCAATTTTCCTGAGAAATTTAATAAGCCATACAAATAGTGGACTGTAAGAGAATTTATTTTTAGAACAACAGCAATTGATGGTTGCATCAGTCCCAACTCTTCTTTAATGTTGTCACTTTTCCATAATAGCACAGGTTTTCATACATTCAGTATAATGTTTATTCTATTTATCCAGTTTAAGCAGTGTTCAGTATCTTACCTAAGCTTTAAGTTCTGATTACATTTCCAAAAGATTTCTTCTTTATTTCAGCCAGGAAGTGGTTTTCTGGCTTATTTGGTCTCCTGGTGTGTTCATCTGCTTACATTTGCCAGGGAAAGTTGCCTTCTTGTTAGGCAGGTTGCATGGAGTAATATGGAGAGGAAGAAGGGTGATCAAGGAGCCAAATTTGTGGTTTTGATTAGCATTTGGTTATTGGATATGATCTGATTAGTGTTCAGTTGTTTATTTTTACATGGCTCCCAAATCCTTGGTCAACTGTTCGTGACAGGAAGAGGTTTACCCCGAATCTGTAAGCTGCAAGAAGCAATAAATGATTCCTGAACACAGAACTGGGATAACATAGATCATTGCAAACTCTTTCTGCAGGAGAGACCGGTGCAGACTTCTTTTTTACCCTTCCATAAATGCCAAGGGATTTTGGACAGAAAAGTCCAAAGTCTGAAGTCCGTGCAGGGATGAAATGAAGGCATCTCAAATTTTTGTAACTTTCCATTATTTGGCAAGAGCTTTGTTTTATCTCATTTAATGTTTTAGTCTTTTAAAATGACAAATCCAACCCACCCTTTTCTTTTTCCAGGTCTCCTGCAAGCGCAGAATCTTTTAACGCAACTACCTCAGCAAAGCCAAGCCAACCTCCTGCAGTCTCAGCCAAGCATCACCCTTGCCTCGCAGGTCAGGCTTATTTCTACAGTTTATAAGTTGCTTTGAGGTGATTTAACTATTGCAAATGAATGGACCCTTTGTAATAGTTACTAGAGTAGGTATTGCAGCTGTAACAGTGTTTGTCTTGCCAGATTGATTCAGTGTTGAACTGAAGTATCAGTGACTTCTGGGTTTTTTTCTGTTTTAGTAGTGTCCACCCTAATGTGCCTCTTTTCATGCATTTAAGGTTCTAAATTTTTACTTTTAGCTGAAAATTTCTATGATTGATACCTTGAGTTAATGGCTCTAGAGCATCATTTGATTTCTTGTAAGACTTTTTTGAAAAATCTACAAATTTGTGAAATTCAGAAGAGGAAGGAGTGGACTACCTAAAAAGCCCATAAAGAGGATTACTGACAAGTATCTTTCTTTCTAGAAATTTCAGTGGTAATCTGTCTTTATAGTAGCCCAGTTGTTTTGCTATTATTGCTAAGTCATTGCCAGTCTTAATAGTTACTTTCTGTGAAAGTGAGGAGATTGTTAAAAATACATTAAAATGTTCTGCTAGATTTTAATGTTAAAATATTAAAGCTCTGTAATTAAGCTTTCAGACTGCAAGAAAAGCAATTTTAATGTTGCATGTGCCTGCAAATTTAGTTTTGCTTCACTCTGGGTTTTACTGTGCAGTTTAGTTACGTGACTGCATGCTGTTTTGCAAATACCATGTATGGTATTTTCCTGCCAACTTGGTTACATGTAAGAATTTTTTAGTCTGTAATAAAATGCCTGAGTCTATCAACGTCTTAGAAAACTACATTTTCTATTATACTACCTATAGTATTTTTCATGCACCATGTGGAAAATGGAATTTGTATCACCTCTGTAGTTCATACCTCAATTAACAGCATGACTCCCTACTAAAGATTACACTTGGATTAAAAAAAGTATCAAAACTGCAAAGAGAAAAAAAATTGTCTAAAGGGGGTGAAGTCAGTAAAGACATATTGCAGTAATTACCCACTATGTTTAATATGAATTAAAAAATAGTAAAAATATTTATAGTGTGACACATATATCTGCAATCCTAGAAAGATCATACATGATCATATTATTTCTGAAGAAACGGAATTATAGATCCTGACCTCCCTCAGTCATCTGCTGTGCACTGCAAAATACTGTATTAATCCAGAAGAAAAACAACATAAGGATCAGTGTAAAGACTTAAGCTATATGTAGGCCATTTCTTTTAGAACAGCCATTTCTGGACCCTTGCATAGACTTTGCATAGTACTGTAATAATGCGTAGACTTGACGCTGTTCTTATTTGCCCTGAAGGAGTCTGTAGTTTCAGAACTGGGCATAGCACATAAAAGCATGAAGTCACCTTTGCTTAAGAGCCACAGCTGAACTGAGTAGAATTTTACTAGAGTAAATGATTTGTCTCTGCATCTCATTTCCTCTATGGCATGGAAGAAGTTAGAGTTAGGCACTCAAAATGCATTTCTGATGTTCCTGTTGCACATAAAGCCTGAACTGTGCAATGCCAGATATTATTTTGTCCACATGCAAATATTTTCTATGATGCTCATTTTTTTTTTTTTTTCCAGATTCTTATTATTGTTGCATAGTAAAATACACTGTTCAGCCCATGTTCAGGAGTAGTGAACCTCATGTGGACTTACTGGAAAATTAGCCTTTTGTATAGAAACAAAATGTAACCTAAAAGGAATTATTTTATGCAGGTTACCTTTACTTACTTTCTTGTATCACCAGTACATTCATCCTTACTGTTGCAAATATCCACAGAAGGGCTAGAGATAGACGTAGTTTTTTCTTACTGGAAGAGATGGGTCGGTCACAAGAGATGGCATTCAAAGAAACTTGCCATCTTTGCTGCACCTTGTATGTGCTCCCTGTTCCAAGACTAAATAGGAAACTTGAATCTTTTGGGCTGATGACAATCTGCCACTTTACACAAGCAGCAAATTAAATTTTTAAATGATTAAAAGGGGATGAATGCCAAGTTGTCTGTAAATAATAGAACTATATTAAGTAAGAGCATTCAGCCTTTCTTTTGAGCAGCTTCTGCAGCAAGCAAAAGTTGTTGGTTATCTGCTGCATTGAGCGTCTCTTCTTTAATTGATGCTGACAGAGCTCTTAAAAGGCTGTCATATTAATACAGTTTTCTGGATTGTGATTGCTCATTCTTGAGAGGAATCTAAATAAATTGTAGGAACTTTCAGATTGCTTGAAATGTCAAATTCATTGATCTTTCTCACAGAAATCTCATCTTTTTTTTTTTTAATTGAATTTTTGCTGATTATTCTTTTAAGTCTGATTTTCATCTTTTCCTTGCTATCTTAATAGCCAGCAACCCCAACACGCACAATAGCAGCGACCCCCATTCAGCCACTTCCACAGAGCCAGTCAACACCAAAGCGAATTGACACTCCCAGCTTGGAGGAGCCCAGTGACCTTGAGGAGCTTGAGCAGTTTGCCAAGACTTTCAAACAAAGACGGATCAAACTTGGATTCACTCAGGTGAGACTGTGTAACTTAGTCCCTGCCAGGGTGGAATGTGAGGTCTCATCTTTCAAGTCTGGAGGGAAGCCTACAATTCCACCTTTTCCTAGGAGAACCTTCTTAAATACGGTTATGCTCTGGCTTTTGTGTAGGGGTTTTCTAAGAAATAAGAGAAAAAGCCATACATCCATCTTCTTCCCTATTGGTTTTAAAGCATAGCCATTTTCCCAGCAGGTACGTGTATTTACCAGTGCCAGGTGTCATTGCATGTGCACTATTCATTCTATAGGATGCAAAATGAATGGAGCAAAGCACTTTAAAGCTGTCTTCAGAAGTACAAAGTTCCAGAAATCATACAGCACAATTAACAGCTCTGTGTGTTTAAAAAGTATATCACAACTGTGCAGTTGCTTTGGATGTAAGAGGGCTTTTAATTCTCCAGCTCATTTTTCTATTAAACATCAATGATTTCTGTATTTAATGCTTTTGCTAAGGTTCCTAAACAAAACCTGACAGGACTGTGACCTTTAAAGTTTGCTCCTTACAGAGGTGAACTGGAGTTGCGGTTTGTTTTGGTTTGTTTAAAAGCTCAGAAATATCCACAGAGCAGGAGAAGAGTAATCTTGAATGTCGTGAAAATGGTTGAATGAGAAATACAATTAAAAGTACAAAGTGAATTTATATGTCCTGTTAGTCTGTTGAAGGGAAATGCTGCTTGGATCCAGGAGTCCTTTCTTATTAATATCAGAATTATCCCCCCCCCCCCCCCAAATTAAAATATCTGTCCAGGTAAACAATTAATTTTGGCATGAGTTTTTGGTAAGCATAGGCGTGTTTTTTGCTATAAGAAGTAGCTTACAAAAATCAAAGTAGGTATTTAAAAGTCTGAGCTCAGAGCAGTCAATCCAGCATATGTGATTTTTTTCTCTAGAATAAGTAAGTCTACTCTAGCTGAAAGTATGTGCTAAAGTCACCAGTTCCTGGTAACATCTTAATTATAACTCAAGAACAGAATGTTCTTAGTAAAATGGAGTTGCTGGTATGTGTGCCTCCTTCCCTCCCTTCTTTCCAGTAGAGGGAGGCACAGAAGTACAAGTGATGGACACACACAAAGGCTAGAATAGAGCAAGAGCAGAATAGAGTAAAATACAATAGTTTCCCTATAGCCTGACTGAGAAGGTTCATGTAGATCTTTAGTTATGTTTAATCTGCCTTGCTGTGAGATGATTATAAAAGCTCAACTAGACTTTTAGATTATGGGTTAACCCTACTTTATTGACTCTGTTATGAATTTTCATGGTGAGGAAAAATGAACACAAATGTTCAGGCTTACATTTCAGTATTAACTTTTGAGCTTAAAAAAAAAAATGGAATCTTGAGAAAGTGATAAAATTGCATTTGAGCATTCCTGTCCTGCTGAGTTTGTATGTGTATAATTAGGCAGTTCAAATAATTTCTACCTAATTGTGTAATTGGATGATAATTAGAGACCCCTATTACTTTGATTTTTTTATAGGTGAATAAATAGATTGCCTTTCAGAGGATAAAAGAATTTTATTTCCAGTGGTACTGTAAGCATTCTCAGACTCATGCCACCCCTGCCTTTCAAAAATAATTGTGAGATTTAGTTTGCATTGCAAACTAATAACTTACTACGTTCTGTCTTGTGAACAATGTAACAGATTTTGAATTTCTGCAGTTCTGTCTCTTCTCCCACCCTGAAAAATGGGTGATGGATTTAAATCCTTTTGTTTAATTGCTTTCCATGTTTGACATAGAGACACAATGAGCATACTGCACCTTAGAGTTATTGCAGGTATGTGACTGATTGGTCAGTACAGATTCAGGCTGTGTGAGCAAACATTTTAGACTATGTTAGTTTTATTCCTTTAAAGATGTTACTACCTCTGCTAGTCTGTCTGAGCTTCTTGACAGACCAGTACACAAAACAGTAATGTAGCTTATAACCAGTTTCAGTTCAGTACCAAAGCTTCATTCAACCTACAGAGTAGATCAGATACGTATACAGTGCCTTCATCCACTGTCTCATCCATCCTTTCAGTCACCCACCCCAATTTATAAAATTCTCACCCCAATATGTAAGTTCCTTTGATTACAGCTTAAATGCTGCCACCTTTTGGCACTGAAAACTATTGACAAAGAAATGGTTAACTGTCCATTTTAAATCAGACAGCAGATGTTAGTAAGAACAGCATAAATACCAGAATTAAATTTAGTTGGGGGACTGGAGCACATTTCATAACTCTTTCCTGCCGAGACATAAATCAATTTATCTCTAAAATGGTTTATGTAGCCAGGTTTTCTTCTTCATAAACCCAGTAAAGCATCCATGTTACTTCTCTTGGAATGCTCTGTGAGTTTTAAAATGCACATGCGATTTCCCATGTGTTTCCTGTGGTTGAAGGGCATACAAACTAATTGTTCTGCTCCTCTTCTAGGAAGGAAATTGTTTTCTTTACACAACCTGCACAATTTACTAAGGTTACCAAAGACTGTTTTCTTCCTCACTTGTATGTGGCCACTCTGCATGCTGTTAGTATATTTGTATCAAGCTGTGGTTGTGGATCTGACCTAAAAGGAAAGAAAGTAAGCTTTACACACAATCCAACTAACCCATTTGCAATTAAACTCCATGGATTATACTCAAGCTTTTCAGTCTCTTCTAGAATTTTCATACTTTTTTGTGTTAAAAAATAAAAATCTAAATTAAACTACTTTAGACCAAATAGCATACTTAAATAATTATCCTTTTTTAAAAAGGGCAGGACCTTCCAGCTTTAAAGCAAAACAAGAAAACATGATGATGTTTTTAATGGCCACAATAAAGAATTGATTGATTTTTTTTTTAATTTTTTTTTTTAAACAAGATTTTCCAAGTGTAAGCTACATAAATGTGTGTATGTATACATCAGGATAAGCAGAATGTCTGATAGCTAGCTAAACAGAGTTTTGAAGACCAATAACAAATTTAAAGAGATGATCATCTGTCTATAAATCTCCTGTATAGTTTTTTGACAGATGGGTAGTGATAGTGAAGACTAACTTAATCATTATTTGAAATGGTTCAACTCCTTGTCCACTTTGAAATGTGTATCTGTGAGGACAAGTTTGTTTTGAACCTCAGAAGATATTAAAAGTTCAGATAATATTTTTGCATCTATTTAAATGTGACATATGTTTGCAGACATCTTTTCAGGAGTGTTTTCTACTAATTTGAGAACATGAATTCACTGCACTTCTGCTTATTTGAACTTTTCATTTTCGGTGTGAAGTATGTAGATAATTAAATCTGCTCCTGAAGAGAGCTTGGCATTCACTTATTTTAAACAACTAAGAAAAAATTTACACATTAATATTCAGTGGAACGTTTTACTCAGTGATAATGCTCAGAAGACAAAGCATTTGGGATTTTCTGGAGTTACATGGTTGCACTGACTGAAGCTTGACATTTCTTTATGATTATTTGCTTTAGCATGAATCTTGGTAGCACTGAGCAAGTTTCTGTGAAACTGAAATCCCATGCAGCAGTGGAGTCACTGAAAGAACTGAAGAATATGAAAGGATTCTTTGCTTTGGAAGTGCCTATGTTAGTGAATCCCTTTTTTCTCTTTCTTTGTACAGGGTGATGTTGGGCTCGCTATGGGCAAACTCTATGGAAATGACTTCAGCCAAACTACCATCTCTCGCTTTGAAGCCTTGAACCTCAGCTTTAAGAACATGTGCAAGTTAAAGCCACTTCTAGAAAAGTGGCTCAATGATGCAGGTGAATGAGTCTGTATTTCTTCACCAGCCTATCAAAAACAATGGGATTCTAAAAAACTGTGAAAAACTGTTTCTTTTGTACCCTTACGGTTTTATGAAGCCATGAATCTTTGTAATTGTCCATGGGACAAATAAAGGTATAGGAATAAGGGTTCATATTTCCCTTTTCATGTGCCTGTCCTCATCCAAAACCATTCCAATATGAACTTTAAGAACTATGTTTTGCAGCCAGTTGAATAGTTGCATGGGGTGAGGTATAATATGTGTCATGGTTTTCCTCCTTCGTGTGTGTTAATGCATGTAACTTCTAATCCTCTTCCAGCTTTCTTTTCCAGGTGTGTAGTAGAGGGAGAGTTGCATAGTTTGTTGTTTCAGTAGGCAGAGCTTATTGCATTCATCTCTTCCTACACCACTATGTGTGTTCTTTTAAGCTCTCTCCAAGCGTCCGTAAAAGCACCCTCTTTCTCCCCATAGAAGAGTTTTTTGTGGGTTAGGTTTTGCTTTTTAATTCCAGGATTATTTTTGGGGGGGGATATAAATTATTAATGATGCCATTGTTGGCAGTGTTCTTTTTTTTTTTTTTCCTTCCACCAGCAAAAGAAGCTGGATGGTGGTGCTAGGTGTTAGGATAAAAATTGTTTTAAGAGTGCTGTCAGTCAGTTTTTCTTCCAAGTATGTCTAGTATAAAATGATAGATCTGCTAAACAGATGGCACAGATGGTGTGTGCCCTTCTATTTTTACCAAAGTGAAGAGAGCTTTATGCTGGTGCCTACAGTATTCTCTGAAATTTTGAAAGTAATTGCATGCAGTGTTGAGAATTTGTCCTGCATTGAAACAAGGAAGAGTCATTCTGTTGTGCTAGCAGGGATTACCTTTAGGTAATCTAGATCTGTGATAGAAAACATGAAGAACTTCACATGTGCTCTAGTCCACAGGACAGTAGTCCCAAAACCTTCCAGCAACACTGGATGAGTTGTGCTTTTCCTGCTAGAAGAAATATTTGGATCTGTAAATTCAAGTTAAGGACTTTAAATAGTGTCAGGGTCCTTCACAGGCTGGAAGCTGGGAACCATTGTCTTTGGCACTGATTCATTTTCATGAAAATCTTTGGGAAAAACATTAAGATGACTTTAAAGTCTACTTTTAGGTAAAAGTAGGCTGGAGAAGCATACCAATGATCCTTCCTCTTACATTACATTGGAATTTATTGTTACAGAACTTTGTTGTGTGGGGTTTTCAGTGTGGAGAGAGCTTTCAGGATGTTTATGGATACCATTACTGAAAAAAAAATAATCTAGAAAGTAATGAGATGAATGTACTTGCCCATTTGACCTTACAAGAATGGTCTTAGCAGTGTGAACTTTGACACATGCTTATCACCCACAAACGCCAGTGCAGTTGAGAGATCTCCAGTCATAATTAATAATTTTGTACCTACCTGTTGGTTATGTTGCACTAACTGCTACAAAGTAGGGTCACGTGTGTTCTCTCTTTGCTCTTCTGTGGAGTCAGGGGTTGAGAGCTAGAGACCTAGTGTAGCTAAGGGGAGCTGCTATCTGTGTAGGCTGTTTGGTAGAATTGCAAAGCACTGAGTATTTGCTAAGATCCCCAGAGAGAAGAGGTTGCACACTGTGAAGCTGGCTATGAATTTCCTCTTCCTGTAGCGTATTGCAGAGTGGGTAGAAGAAACTTCAGGCTGCTCAGATTTTTTTGTAATTGCCTGTGACTTACTTCTGTGGCTCATGGATATCAGTTTCTGCTTTTTTTTCTTTAAACTATGGCTTTCAGTGAATGAGTGTAGGGTGAGATAAGAGAGGCAAACTTTGTATAGGTATTACAAAAGGTATGCTGATAGCATACAGGAGCAGAGCGTGCCCTCTGGGCTTACTTGTAGCTTTTAAGTATGTGTTGTAATTTCTAAGTAAGGGGATTAATGCACGTGATCTTCAGAAATTTCTGTATATCTGAAATAGGTACAGAATGGGTTTTAACAGCCTTGCACAGGTGAAGTACATTCGTATTAGATGCACTGCATAAAATAAAATCTTGTGATTTATGTTACTTTCTTTTTTCAGAAAACCTCTCATCTGATTCAACTCTCTCCAGCCCAAGTGCCCTGAATTCTCCAGGGCTGGGGAGTGAAGGCTTAAACCGTAGGAGGAAGAAACGCACCAGCATAGAGACCAACATACGTGTGGCCTTAGAGAAGAGTTTCCTGGAGGTCAGTGATCCTGTTGCACTGCTCAGCCTATATAGAAATGAAGAAACTTTGCTTAACAATCGTATCTATTAGAGCGAACCCATTACTGTGCTATTTAGAAAAGTGCTTGTACTAAGCAGGGCGGATACAGAGGATGTGGCGAGAAACACACATTAGTGCCTGATCCATTAAAAAAAACCCCAAACAATCAAACAACCAGAAGAACACAGAACTTCTCAAAATGCCTCATTAGTTTTTGCAGTTTGCTGACTTCATGATTTCGTATTCCAAGGTTCTGAGCCATAGATCTAAGACTGATATTCAGCACATCAAAAAGAAGAAAAACAGATTACCCTCTCTGGGGATGGATAAATGGTGTGACAGTCCCAGCATACATAATGTGAGGTTTTTAGCTGGCCTTAGGTTACTCTTGTTTGGCACTTTGTGTAGCTATATGGACAGATAACCTCTGTAAGTAGCCCATTCAATCTCCCTGTCTTTCATTATAGGTCTAGACAAATTGGGGTTCATTTGGCTATTGCTATAGTCAATCCCTTGTATTCCTTTTTGAGAGATGCTGAAAGATTTCCTTATCAAGGTCTAGAATTCCTTGAAGGATTAGTTCACAAGTCAGATCCTTTCTTTCAAAAAGAAGCATGTGAGCTTAGTCTTCATCACCCATCTCTGAGGAACACAGCTGCCTGTTGGTAGAAATGTTCCTGTAACTAAGAAGATGGAGGGCAGAAGTATCTATTATGATCCATCTCTACTGTACCACTGACCAGATTCAGGGTATAAATGACCAATCTATATTTCTGCCTAGTGAAGAAGTAGCTATTTAATGTAAAACTTCAGAATATAATTTCACAGCTTTTCAAATGCCGTTCCCTTTTCTCAGAACCAAAAGCCTACCTCGGATGAGATCACCATGATAGCTGACCAGCTAAACATGGAGAAGGAGGTGATCCGCGTTTGGTTCTGTAACCGGCGCCAGAAGGAGAAAAGGATCAACCCACCCAGCAGTGGTGGAACCAGCAGCTCGCCCATCAAAGCAATTTTCCCTTGCCCAACCTCACTGGTAAGAATCAAGAAACTGTGCTGGCAAAGATCACTGGAAGAGATATTCTACTGTGGTCACTGTGGGAATTGCACGTGCTATGCCTTCTGTGTACACCAGACTTGTTCTCACAAATGCATATTTTACCAGCATTTTAAGCATCCTACTTGCTTACTGAGAGAGATAATGCTTACAAATCAGGCAGTAGTTGGGCCGTCAGTTTGGGTGTTTAATTTAGTCAGCTTGTGAGTAAGTATTCTGGGTAGCCAATTTGCATTTGGGGTTATTGTTTTGAGCATATACAAGATAGGAACTCCAGTTTGTATCTGGACTTTTTCTCTCGCCCAAACATCTTTTGTAAAATTGTAGTAATAAACGCTCAACAGCTCTACCCTTTCCCTCGTATTTTGGCTGCTCTGATAAGTAGATGAGCAGCAGTAAAACATGTCATTTGGAGACTTAAGTCACGCAAATCCAATTATACTGTTGTCGCTTTTAGTCAGGAATGATTTGTATAAAAAAAGACTTGGAACAAAGGAACAATTTAGCTAATCATAGAATAGTTAGGGTTGGAAAGGACCTTAAGATCATCTAGTTCCAATGCCCCTGCCATGGGCAGGGACACCTCACACTAAGCCATATCACCCAAGGCTCTGTCCAACGTGGCCTTGAACACCTCCAAGGATGGAGCATTCACAACTTACCAGGGCAACCCATTCCAGTGCCTCACCACCCTTACAGTAAAGAACTTACTCGTTATATCCAGTCTCAACTTCCCCTGTTTAAGTTTGAACCTGTTACCCTTTGTCCTGTCACTACAGTCCCTAACGAATAGTCCATCCCCAGCATCCCTATAGTCTCCTTTCACATACTGAATTTATTTCCCACACTTGTATTTGCCTCAGGTAAACACAAACTTCATGAAAATAAGAGTAACAAAATACATGCATCAAGGTTCCTTCACCTCCTTTGCTACCAATGTCCATGGAGGTCTGTTTTCATAAATAGAAACAGTAGCTATTAGGTTTCATAGTAGCTATGCTAACAGGTATGTGATGGATTTTATGTAGCCTGTAGCTGTACTTTTGTAGTGTTTTATTTCACCCTCATCACTGTAGTAGCTAGTATCTTCCAGTACTTCATTAAATCATTTTGGTGACGTGTCAAAGGAGGTGATCCTGCCCCTCTACTCTGCTCTCGTGAGACCTCACTTGGAATATTGTGTGCAGTTCTGGTGTCCTCAACATAAAAAGGACATGGAACTGTTGGAACAAGTCCAGAGGAGGGCCAGGATGATCAGGGGACTGGAGCACCTCCCATATGAAGACAGGCTGAGAAAGTTGGGGCTGTTTGGCCTGGAGAAGAGAAGGCTGCGTGGAGACCTCATAGCAGCCTCCCAGTATCTGAAAGGGGCTTATAAGGATGCTGGGGAGGGACCCTTCGTCAGGGACTGTAGTGATAGGACAGGGAGTAACAGGTTCAAACTCAAACAGGGGAAGTTGAGACTGGATATAAGGAAGAAGTTCTTTACTGTAAGGGTGGTGAGGCACTGGAATGGGTTACCCTGGTAAGTTGTGAATGCTCCATCCCTGGCGTTGTTCAAGGCCACGTTGGACAGAGCCTTGGGTGATACGGTTTAGTGTGAGGTGTCCCTGCCCATGGCAGGGTGGTTGGAACTAGATGATCTTAAGGTCCTTTCCAACCCTAACTATTCTATGATTCTGATGACAGATGCAATGCCTTGGCTGCATTAGTGGTGTTATATATGTCTAGCTCTTTCATACACTGTTTGAGATGGGCAGAAAACTTTTAGGTCTGTCCCAGTTGCCCCAGTCTTGTTTAAAATGCGTGAAACATTTAACTGTCTATAAGCATATGCAGCATGAGAGAGTTCTCTGGTAATAAGCTTCAAGTAAGAGAGGAGAAAGAGGAACGTTTCAGCCTAAATCCTTGGCTATGTTCTCTTGGGCAATTCTAAAGGATTCATTTCTCTCATTGATGTATAACAGCCTTCAATTATTGCTATTGGACACCATTTCATGTCCATAAGAAGTACTTTCAAGCCTTTTATTTTGTTTTTCTTCATAAGCTAGTTTCTCCAGCTTTAAATCTTTTGTGGGTTTTTTTTTTGTATGTTTGTTTGTTTGTGGTTTTTTTTTGAATCTCTAGTGTCTTCAGTTTATTGTAGATTTCTTGTAATCTGTCCAGAAGTAAAATCAACTAATGTCATTTAGATATTTTAAAATTCAGAGATCCTTCCTCTGGCACAAGGAAACTTATCAAAGTAGAGCTTATAGTTTGGTTGAGTAAAAGTGAGATATTATTCTGCTTACCCATGTGAAAACATGACCCTAAATACCTTTGTTAACACTGGGGCATTTAAATAATTTTATCAAAGAAAGGGGTTTGGAGCTGGAAGGATGTTTAAACAAAGATAAAACCCATGCAGAAATAATAAGTTTTGTATTTCTAGGAGAGTGACTCTGTTAAAACAAGGTGCTGTCTTTGAGGGAGGGCAGAACAAGAGGGAGGGCTAACTTGCAGTCCTCAGGCAGCCTAGACGTAATGGATGTATCTCCCTTCAAATACTGAATGATTAAGAGTAAAGATACTGCTGGTAATTACAGAAGGTACTATGGTTGGTCCACTGAATGATAAAGTAATGGGATGCGGTGTTTTCCCTGATAGTTTTCCTTGATAACTTCCTCGGTTGATGATGGGTAAAAAAGAATTCTAGTAGTGAGCTCTTTTTGTCTTTTAATGGTTGAGCAGTTGTATTCTTTTTCGACTTCCAGGTGGCAACCACACCAAGCCTTGTGACTAGCAGTGCAGCTACAACCCTGACTGTCAATCCTGTGCTCCCTCTGACCAGTCCTGCTGTAACTAGTCTTTCAGTCACAGGTAAGGGCTGATCTCTCTTGTCCCCACATTAACCTCTACCATTTTTACCTTTTAGACTCTTCAGAAGTTCATTCAGTATTAGTCACTGGTATCCCAGGACACTTGTGATCATTTAGTTGACTTTTCTGGGAATAAAACCAAAGGTGATGCTGAAATGACATTTGCTGTATTCAATTGTAAGCATCTAGAGCTCCTCAGCCCTACTGCTGGGGAAGTGTCGTTTCGCTGTAGTCTCAGCTTCTCATTTGGACTCTTGGTGCTTCTTGGTCCTACAGAAATATGTTTGTCTCCCTTTCAGTTGGATGTGCAGTTCAGCTCAGGTGGGTGGTAGTTTCTGTTCAGTCATAATCTGTTCTGTACTGATCTAACCAGAATCAATCTTCTAGGGACATCAGAAACCATCTCCAACAACACAGCAACAGTGATTTCAACAGCACCTCCAGCTTCTTCAGCAGTGACATCGCCTTCACTGAGTCCTTCCCCTTCTGCCTCAGCCTCCGCTTCAGAGGCATCCAGTGCCAGTGAGACCAGCACAACACAGACAACCTCGACTCCCTTGTCCTCCCCTCTTGGGACAAGCCAGGTGATGGTAACGGCATCAGGGTTGCAAACAGCAGCAGCAGCTGCATTACAAGGAGCTGCACAGTTGCCTACAAATGCAAGTCTTGCTGCCATGGCTGCTGCAGCAGGACTAAACCCAGGCTTGATGGCATCCTCACAGTTTGCAACTGGGTAAGGATGAATTTTTCATGCTCTTTTAGATGAGATGACAGAAGAGGGATAAATTGCTTTTATGTATCACTATTTCCTGGTGGCTCACTCAGTGATTCTAGTGTCATTTATCTCAGATTCTGAAGGTTTACTTACAGACAGTCATTGGCCATTCCTATCAATGTACACAAATACTGTTTTCATTTTACAGGTGGAAAAGCTGTGTTGCAGCAATGTTGTTATTTGATAAGTCATCCATCCCACTGCAGAGCTTAAGAGGTGCAACTTACCACTGAGTCATAGATTCTGTTCTACTAATTGTAAAGTGGAGAGCTAGTCTAGGCCCACTTCCCACCTCTGTGCTCATTTCTTTACTGTGAGCAAGAAGCTGTAAAAGATGCAAGATGCTGCGTTGTTGAAGTTTTAGTTTTAAAAATGTTGCTCTGAGAGGTGACTCTGTTTCTTTAATTCCTTTTGATTTACATCTTTCTTACCTGAATTTGGGAGATGATGATAGCTCTCTAATGAGTGGCAGTTTCCCCAAAATATGAGAATGTTTTACAGCAACAGTCAATACAAGTCTTGTATTTGCAGTGCCATGTCACTAACACTAACCACACATCTGAAAGGTACCATCTACTCAAGGCATAATGAATGAAAAAGTAAAATGAACTAAAGTTAGCCCTTTATCTCTGTCCCTCCTCCCTCCCCTCCCCCCCCCCCCCCCCTTTTTCTTTTAAGAAAACACAATGGTGTACTTCTGAAAAGTGACAGCCTTTCCTTAAAAGTAACACTCCTTCCTTTTGTCTTTGTTTCTCCATCAATTTTGCTTCTTGCAGAGGTGCCTTACTCAGTCTCAATCCAGGGACATTAGGTGGTGCTCTCAGCCCGGCCCTGATGAGCAACAGTACACTGGCAACTATTCAAGGTCAGTAATGCATCTCGGTCATACAATTTCAGTTTACAAGCTTTGTTTTTCCTATCAGAAATGAACATTGACTCCTCAGCAGTCGACATGAATGTTTTAGGAATAAAGGTTTTGCAAAATTCAAATGTGCAAATACATTTTATGTATCACAGAGATAAGAGCAGGTACAGCTTCATAGTGGGGATTAGAACTGTGTATGATCTTGTAGTGATTTACACAAGGCATTTTAAGATACTGAATGTGATCTGGAATTAATTTTGTTATTTTTCTCTCTTTGGCATGCATTTACAGTAGGTTAGAGATCTGCTTTTTATAGGTCTTCTAGCATAAGCTTGAGAAGACTTGTGTTGTGTTGAGGTCTGTTAGGAGGGAAGTTCTGAGCAAGACTTGACCTTGAATTCTTGTCCTCGTTTGTATTTAAAAAGAGCCCACAACAAACAACCTACTTCCTAAAGTCCTTATGTATAACTTTAAATCCATAATTCTCATTAAGAGGAGAAAGATTTACTTTGGAAGTGCCACACAGCAAGAGTTGTTCTCAGTTCATGGTTTGTGATCTGTAAAAGCAGATAGTGCAAGTAGCTAAAGAGTTAGGTAACCTACATATTCAAATAACATCTAAACCAGCTTATCAAATCTTGTTTCCAGAGTACAAGAAAGAACCATTTTGTAGTGTCACAGGTAAATTTAGGAGATCATAATCTAAGACAAACTGAACCCTGTAGACCTGTGAAAGTAAGTTGTAACAGAGGTTGTATATTGGCATTTAAAATGTTATGTTCAGGGTTATATGACCTTCTTCATCTTGTGATAGCTGTCATTCCATTGTGAACACTCACCTCAATGCTTTCCAGTACAGGTTGCCTGAACGTACAGTTTTTCCTTGGCAGGAAACGGACCACTATTGCACTTAAAGATCTGAAGAAAGACATGATGGAATTAGCTTAGGACCAGATGGCAAAAGCATTTTAGTATCTGCAAGGTGTCTTGTCCACTCTTCTTAAAGAGATGTTTTTTAACAACCTACAATGAGATGACTGTCATTAGGGTTGTAGAGAGCACGCATATCAGAGAAAGGAAAATGCAGAGACCAGTTACTTTTTGGCACTTTTTATGCACATTTTGCATTATTGCTTACTGTTCATTTTCCCTTTTCTAGCTCTTGCATCTGGTGGCTCTCTTCCAATAACATCACTGGATGCAACTGGAAACTTGGTGTTTGCCAATGCTGGAGGTACTCCTAACATCGTAACTGCCCCTCTATTCCTGAACCCTCAGAACCTTTCTCTGCTCACCAGCAATCCAGTTAGCTTGGTCTCTGCAGCTGCAGCCTCCGCAGGGGCCTCTGGACCAGTCGCCAGCCTTCACGCCACCTCCACCTCAGCGGAGTCCATCCAGAACTCTCTCCTCACAGTGGCCTCTGCGAGTGGGGCCACATCCACCACCACTACTGCCTCCAAGGCACAGTGAGCCGGGCTGAGCTGTGCTGCCAGCAGCCTGTTTCACTGTGAGGTGGGATTGGCTGCCAGCAGGGTTTATAAACTGAAAATGTGATGAGCATCCTCTCACCGTGTTGCTGGGGACAAGGGAGAGAAGGAAAAGATAATAAAAACCAAAAGCAAAACAGGAAGGATTTAAAGCTGAGACAGACATTTGCCTAATTTTATAATAAACACTGTCTTTTCAGGATCGCTTCATGGATCGGAGAACTTTCTAACCAAAAATGTAAAAAAAAAAAAAAACCAAAAAAAAACCAAAAAAACCAAACAAACAAAAAACCCAAAAAAAGCACCCCAAATCAAAAAACAAACAAACAAAAAAAAACACAAAAAAAGTGAAAGGACTACTTATCATTTCCAGCAGTCACAATGACAAGTTAAGGTGGGTTATCAACTCAAACATAGGAAGGGGATTTCCTGCTTCTTTTTGGTCTAAATATCTTTCTTTTTTAATTATCATTTTATAGGTCTGTTGTACAGGCCAGTATGTCATACAAGGTGTTTATAATCGTATCAATTGTGTTGGGGGTTCCTTTCTTAACTGGTACAATTTAGGCAGGCCTGTATTACTGGTGTATCTCTATTATTATTATTATGATTATTATTATTATTATTATTTTTATATATATAGTTTGGACGCGTTTGTCTTTTGCTCCTGGATTATATTCAGTGAGCTCCCACACAACAGGGGGAGGGTGGGAGGGCGGAGAGGAAGAATGGAGCACAAATAGACTTTCTGTCCTCATCTTCTGGGAACGTTCTGAGCAGTTTCCTCATCTCTGAATTTGTCTAATTGTTACTTGTAGGGGTCAGAAAAAATTTCTGTTCATTATTGTTGCAGGAAGATCGGTGTGGCAGTAGAGCTTATTGTGTGCAAACTTCCAGTCTGGTGTATGCTTTTTAAGCAAAGGTAGGAATTAGTTCTGAACTGCTGTTTTCTTTCCCTCAAGTACTTAGACAAAATGGACAAATTCTGCACTTAGCTTTGTGTGCATGGGTCCTTTTTATGCCAGAGCATAGGATTTGACCTCCTAAGTCTAGATTGTGTGGCATACCAATGGCTCTTCTGTTCTGTTGATTTGATTTTGCTGTTAAGAATGTACACGAATATTTAAAAGCCGTTACCCAAACTAATTGGTAGCACGTAAAGCAGCATTTACAGCCCTAGACTCCCTCTAGCTGAATTGGAATAGGACTTTAAGAGGTCAGATACTCTTTGTTCATATCAATATTACTTTTCTGTTAATTCTGATGCTTCCAACATTGCATTTAGAAAAAACTTTCTAGTAAAAAAGTGATCTGGCTACAAAACACAACAATATGAGAACAGAAGCTACCATCATTGATGCCAACACAATCAAACTGATTCTGGGGCTTTGCACATACCTGGGTGATCTCGTGTAGTGTCTGAGCTGTGATGCTGCTAGTAATGTAAAAATGGCAGTAAGCATCTCTGACCCAGAGCCTCAGGGTTTGCCTGCCACTGTAACTGTCTTTTCAAGGTTGATTCTGATCCACGTGGCAAGTGGTATTTACATAGATGAGGAAGAGTAATGAACTGTACTGAAGTTAGAGCTGTATATTCTTAAATATACAGTCCAGTACCTGAACCAAAAAAAAAAAAAAATTTTAAAGAGAAGACTGGATCACTGCAATGCAGTTCACTTTGAACTTTCCTGATGGATTTAAGGTTTAAGATTTAAAGGTTTCTGCCATATGTATAAAACTAAACTACTTTTAGCTAACGAGGGTATTAGAAGAGTCCCTTTCCCCCACCCTCTTTTGTCACCAGAGTGTCCTAAAATAATGAGCAGATGCAGCTATGTTCATTTTGTTGATGATTCAGGGGGATCCTGGAGCTTCTTATCCAAGATCCAGAAGGCAGCAACTTTAAACTTTACATATGCTTTGGTTTGTGACCTCAGCATGTGAGATTTGTGTTTGCACTCAAGTGGCAGAACCCCTTACCTTCCCCCCCACCATGGTTTTGCTCTGTTCATCTCTAACTCTCCACCTTCCTGTTTTACTGAATATTTAAACCAATTATCCCTAAAACTTCAAAACTAGTGAACTGCAAGCAGGGAGGCTAACAAATGTCCGTCCACCGTTTCTAATGTGTTTTTGATTATTTTTATGTTTTATTTTTTTAAAACTAAGCTTGAACCAAAGTCAATTTCTAGCAAGCTGCTGTACTAATGGACTAGTTTGTGTAAGTGCAGTTCAGATGCAGAGAGGCGATAGATGCTACTGACAATTTCTTTTTCATTTGTCTGTTTTTATTAATTTTATAAAAAGTTGCTGCTTGTTTTTAATTTTTTTTTTTTTGGTTGGTTGGTAATTTCTGTTATCCTTGGGACAGACTCTTAACTGGATTTTAATTTGTTTTCTTTTGTTTGATGTGTAAATAGAATGGCAATGTCAGGGGATTGTTAATCCAACAGGTCCCACCCTCATCCCACCAGTATGGATAAATCTTTTTGTTTTATGACTTCAGGCTGTGCAGGAGACTTTTAGGGCTAGGAATAATCCTCAGAAATGGAAATGTCCCAGAGTAATAAATAGCAAGCTTCAGGGAGGTAGGGAAGAAGTGGAAGAGTTGATGCTGGTGCCAGCTATGTTGGTCTGAAGGCCATAGCACAGACCACAGTTTCTACCAAAGGAATGCAAGTCCCTGGGACTTGAGTTCAGTAAGAGGATGGAGAAATGTTCATTCCTGACTGAAAGTTCCCACTTTCATGCCTGTACAAAAATGCCATTTATCAGGGAACGTTTTTTGTGCAGGGAGGATGCTACTGGTCTTTTCCCTGATGTATCGCGACTCCCTGAGGGTTTTGTGGTGGGGTGAGGGGCATGATCCTTGGGTGTATGTAGGAAACACAAAGAAAGGTGGGCCTTAAATCAGTGGAAAATCCTCTCCACAGTTCAGAGAGACTGTGCCATTAGCTGTCTGAATGAGTTTTCATGTCCCATTCTTGCTGATTTGTGACTGGGAGAGGGTCTTGTTGAATACATATCTGGAACACTAATGCAGCTTGGATGGTTTATTTATTATAAAAATCTGCTTTTTTTCCTGACTACCTTTGCATTGGTCACATGGCTTTGGTGTGAGCACCTTATACCCCCTTACCCTCCCCCCTTACCCTCCTCCCTTACCCTCCTCCTCTCTACCCTGTCAGCCTCTCTGGGGCCCAGATTCCAGGATATTTCTTAGCAAGTCTTTTTCTGAGAGAAACTGGAAGCTCAGAGTTACCACATGTCCAGGAAGTGTTTGGTATTGCTTGCAGAAGCTGACATAATACCCAACAGCACGTATTTTGTGGTGTCTGTTACCAGTGTCCTCTTATTCATTATCCTAAAACATCCCAATGATTGAGTCCTGGAGCCTGCTTTTCAACCCTAGCAGTGTTTTGTGTCATGGATGTTGGCTGCCTCCAGTGTGTAGGTGAAATCAAATTGTCAGTGGATGTACATCTGCCTAGGTAGAGCACATATGCTTGTTCAGAGCATGAAAGGAATATGAGATCATGTACTAGAATTTAACGGGGGGTGGGGGGGTGGGGGGGTGTGTGTGTGTTAAGTCATAATTGCGCTGATATTGATGCATCTGAAAAGAGGCAATAACAATTGCATATAGACCTAGTAAATACGATCAAAAGGAATTCCATAGCATGTTAGAAAAGGATAATAGCATCTCTTTTTCAAAGTTCCATGTCTCCATATTTAAAGATGTATGGGTTGCCTTTCATACCTGAAAGCATAAAGAGAAGGTGAAAAACTCTATGTATAGCCAAGGACAGTTAGCTCAAAAAGCGAGAGATTTACAGGGACACAAATACTGATACGACCTGAAGTTCAAGAACAATTTAGGAAATGGCTTCAGGATGAGGTTGTTGTAAGCTGGTGATAAAATTCTTCCTGGTGTTAAGAAAATGGATTCCAGTTTGGCTTTAGCAAACTTTTGCTACTTGGTCTCCTCAGAACACACTCTCTGTAGTCACTGTAGAATGATTCATGAAAAGCTCGTAGGAAGTCCACACAGATAGAGCTGCTTACAAGAGTCACAACATCTGTCTATTTAATCTCCTTAAGAGGATTTATTTTGTTTCCGAGTTAGAGTGCAGTGTTAGTCTAAGCACATTTTTATAATTTTCCTCTGAAATGGTGCCTATGTTCATGCACTCAGTTGTTAGGGAGGTACCATGCTTCTTACATGCACAAGTACCTCATTTATGAGAGTATTTTTTTTTCCCCGCCCATAGGCTAACTTGTGAGCAACTTATGATGACACATCATTGCTCTGCTCCTTCTCAAGATCCTCTGGCTTCAGTAAATAGTTACTGAAACGCAAGTGAAATTGGATTGAAAAGGACATTTTACCATGAATGGGAAATCTGTGTTTGGCTGAACCAGCAAGGAGAACATGCTCAGAAGTTAGTCAGATCTTCATGTAGGAATGTGCTGCTGCTGTTGCTCAATACTTTGGTTTGAGTGCTAGTGAGGTTATCTTGTAAGAGAAAACTAAAATGCTAGAACATTAAGAGGAAGACATATATTCTGATGGCTCAAATTGTAGACCTTTTAGGACATCAGAAGCTTCGGATTTTCATTTTCTCTTTAAATGAACAGGCTGACAAAGAGGTTTTCAGTGGAAACAGTATAGCTCCTGATGCATTTGGAGCTATGCTTTATGATTTTTGCACCTTCTAAGTGAATCAGGGAGATGCCAACACTGAGCAAAGAAGCTGTCTGCTGATCTTACATACAAGTTCTCTCATAGTATGATAGCGTTTAAGTTGAGCAAGAACAATGCACTGCCTTTACCCCTTTTCCTATTTTAATTTTACACACTTAACAGTGAGAATTAAATGTAGACAAAGATTTGATACTTCTGATCTTTTGGTATCTTGCCAAAATCTTTTAGGATAATTAATTCCTTAAAAAAAGCATAGAAAGAACCAGTTTTGCTCAGGGGGCAATAAGAGAATGGCTGTAACCAAAATATGTTGGAGACAGTTCTCCATGTGCATCCATGCCTACAGTTGTGTAATAGGAAATTTTGTTTGGTTGGGTTTTTTACTTCTCTTGGAACTCTAACAATGTTATGATTCATTTTAATGTTTAAATATCAACCTGTGTAAGCCTTGTTGTGTGCTTTTCCTCAGCACATGTTTCTTCAGTTGAGTTACT